ACAAAAATAGACTCAAAATGGTTGAAAGACCTAAATGCGAGACAGGAGTCCATCAAAATCCTAGAGGATAACACAGGCAGCAACCTCTTCGACCTCAGCCGCAGCAACTTCTTCCTAGAAACATCGCCAAAGGCAAGGGAAGCAAGGGCAAAAATGAACTATTGGGACTTCATCAAGATAAAAAGTTTTTGCACAGCAAAGGAAACAGTCAACAAAACCAAAAGACAACCGACAGAATGGGAGAAGATATTTGCAAATGACATATCAGATAAAGGGCTAGTATCCAAAATCTATAAAGAACTTATCAAACTCAACACCCAAAGAACAAAGAATCCGATCAAGAAATGGGCAGAAGACATGAACAGACATTTTTCCAAAGAAGACATCCAAATGGCCAACAGACACATGAAAAAGTGCTCAACATCACTCAGCATCAGGGAAATCCAAATCAAAACCTCAATGAGATACTACCTCACACCAGTCAGAATGGCTAAAATTAACAAGTCAGGAAATGGCAGATGTTGGCAGGGATGCGGAGATAGGGGAACCTTCCTACACTGTTGGTGGAAAAGCAAGCTGGTGCAGCCACTCTGGAAAACAATATGGAGGTTCCTCAAAAAGTTGAAAATAGAGCTACCGTACAATCCAGCAATTGCACTACTGGGTATTTACCCCAAAGATACAAATGTAGGGATCCGAAGGGGTACGTGCACCCCAATGTTCATAGCAGCAATGTCCACAATAGCCAAACTGTGGAAAGAGCCAAGATGTCCATTGACAGAGGAATGGATAAAGAAGATGTGGTATATATATACAATGGAATATTATGCAGCCATCAAAAGGAATGAGATCTTGCCATTTGCAATGATGTGGATGGAACTGGAGGGTATTATGGTGAGCGAAATAAGTCAATCAGAGAAAGACATGTATCATATGACCTCACTAATATGAGGAATTCTTAATCTCAGGAAACAAACTGAGGGTTGCTGGAGTGGTGGGGGGGTGGGAGGGATGGGCTGGGTGAGAGACATTGGGGAGGGTATGTGCTATGGTGGAGCACTGTAAATTGTGTGAGACTGTTGAATCACAGATCTGTACCTCTGAAACAAATAATGCAATGTATGTTAAGAAAAAAAAAAGAAGAAGAAGAAGAAGATAGCAGGAGGGGAAGAATGAAGGGGGTGGAAATCGGAGGGGGAGATGAACCATGAGAGACGATGGACTCTGAGAAACAAACTAAGGGTTCTAGAGGGGAGGGGGGTGGGAGGATGGGTTAGCCTGGTGATGGGTATTAAAGAGGGCATGTTCTGCATGGAGCACTGGGTGTTATGCACAAACAATGAATCATGGAACACTACATCAAAAACTAATGATGTAATGTATGGTGATTAACATAACAATAAAAAATTTTTAAAAAGAGATGTGGTTCATATATACAATGGAATATTACTCAGCCATCAGAAAAGATGACTACTGGGGCGCCTGGTGGCTCAGCCGGTTAAGCGTCTGCCTTCGGCTCAGGTCATGATCCCATGGTCCTGGGATTAAGTCCTGCATCAGGCTCCCTGCTCAGCGGGGATTCTGCTTCTCCCTCTGGGTGCTTCTCCCTCTGCCTGTGCTCTCTCTCCCTCTCTCTTTCTCTCTAACAAATAAATAAATAAAACCTTAAAAAAAAAAAAAGAAAGGATGAATACCTACCATTTGTATCAACATGGATAGAATTAGAGGGTATTAAGCTAAGTGAAATAAGTCAATCAGAGAAAGACAATTATCATGGTTTCATTCATCTGTGGAATATAAGGAATAGCACAGAGGACCATAGGGGAAGGGAGGGAAAACTGAATGGGAAGAAATCAGAGAGGGAGACAAACCATGAGAGAGTCTTGACTCTGGGAAACAAACTGAGGGTTGCAGAAGGGAGGGGGGGAGGGGGGTGGGGGGGATGAGGTTGCTGGGTGATGGGCATTAGGGAGGGCACATGATCTGATGATGAGCACTGGGTGTTATGCAACTAATGAATTATTGAACACTACATCAAAAACTCATGATGTACTATATGTTGGTGGCTAATTGAACTTAATAAAAAAAAACCCACAATGAGATACCACCTCACATCTATCAGAATGGCTAAAATCAAAAACACAAGAAACAAGTGTTGGTGAGTATCTGGAGAAAAAGGAACCCTCTTGCACTGTCATTGGGAATAAAAACTGGTGCAGCCACTGTGGAAAACTGTATGGAGGCTCCTCAAAAAGGTAAAAATAGAATTATGATATGACCCAGTAATTCCAGTACTGAGTATTTACCCAAAGAATATGAAAACACTAATTTGAAAAGATATATGCATCTCTATGTTTATTGCAGCATTATTTAAAATAACCAAGATGTGCAAGCAGCCCAAGTATTCACCCACTGATGAACGGATAAAGAAGAGATATATATAATGGAATATTACTCAGCCATAAAAAAAGAATGTAATCGTGCTATTTGAAACAACATGGATGGATGTTGAGAGTATAATGCTAAGTGAAATAAGTCAGAGAAAACAAAAACATATGATTTCATTCATATGTGGAATTTAAGAAACAAAACAAACAAAAAAAAACAATTGTATTTTTTCTGGAATTCTACTTCTAGTTCTCACTCATAAAACAGTCACAGTACAGCCAAGCAAAACATAGGCACACTTAAATGCTAATTCTCTGGCCTAGCCCAAAGAGTTAAAATCATCAGTATCGCATTTTCATACTGATTTATCTAGTGTCCCAACTGCATGCAACAAGGCAAGTATTAATTATTTCAGTGAATATTAAGGTTTATGGTCTTCTCACCATTACAGATCTTAGAGACATTGTAATAAAGAGTATCATTCCATTATTGATGTTTGATTGCTAACAGCTTTCTCTTCTCCTATTGCCCCACACCCGGACAGACCTGTAAGAAACCCTGAGGGCTCCCTTCTTGGTGCCAGTGAGAAGTTCAAACTATGCAAGCCCCTGAGGCAGACTAGGTACCCTCACCCCAACTCTACTCCCCACACAAAAAAGGATATCCATAGGCCAGTACACCTATGAAATTGGTACGCAACCTTATTAGTCATTAGGGAAATACAAATTAAAACCACTAAACTACCTCTATACTGCCACCAGATGGCTACTATTTAAAACATTAAGGAGGAATCAGAGAGACATGTATCATATGACCTCACTGATATGAGGAATTCTTAATCTCAGGAAACAAACGGAGGGTTGCTGGAGTGGTGGGGGGTGGGAGGGATGGGGTGGCTGGGTGATAGACATTGGGGAGGGTATGTGCTATGGTGAGTGCTGTGAATTGTGTAAGACTGTTGAATCACAGACCTGTACCTCTGAAACAAATAATACATTACATGTTAAAAAAAAAAGAAGAAGATAGTAGGAAGGGAAAAGTGAAGGGGGGGAAATCGAAGGGGGAGATGAACCATGAGAGACTATGGACTCTGAGAAACAAACTGAGGGTTCTAGGGGGGAGGGGGGTGGGGGGATGGGTTAGCGTGGTGATGGGTATTAAGGAGGGCACGTATTGCATGGAGCACTGGGTGTTATACGCAAACAATGAATCATGGAACACTACATCAAAAACTAATGATGTAATGTATGGTGATTAACATAACATAATAAAATTTTTAAAAAAATAAAACACTAAAGAGGAAGAGAATGCAGAACAAAGACTCTCATACATTGCTGGAAACAGTATAAATCATTATGACTCTTTTATAAACTTTTGGCAGCACCTACTAAAGCTAAACATATGCCCAACCTATGAGGCAACAATTCCACCCATATATTAATTAACTGATACAAATTTATATAAATATCAATAGATAGATGATAGATGATAGATAGAGAGAGATAGATAGATATTCAAGAGACATGAGCAAATAGGGAAGCCAAAAACATATAAAACAATGTTCATAGTAGGTTTATTCACAATGGCACCAAATCTGAAACCACCTAAATATCCATCAACCAGTGGTATAGTCAGTTAATTGAATAATACTCAGCAATTTTAAAAGCCTCTGCTATATACAATATGGATAAATCTCACAGACAAAATGTGATGAAGACATCTAAACATTAAAAAGTACACACTAAGTGATTTTATTTGTATGGAGAACAGATAACTCTAACTTACAGCAATAGAAATCATTAGAATGGTTAACCCTTGGGAGGAGGTTGACTAGTAAGAACCACAAGGAAGCCTCTGGATCTGGGTGGTGGGCACAATCCATCTCACTGTTTGCCTCCACTGAAGCCTACCTTGCTATTCTCAAGCCCGCTTTTCCTCACGTAGCAATATATTATGAAAATTTTGGTGTCAACAAAAGTAGCCCTGTTTTATCTATTTTAAGTTGCTGTCCCTTTTTGTAATTAAACATAGTTTTAGGAACCTTATCTAAGTAAATTATAAATGCTACAGCTTCAGCTTCATCTCGCAAATCACATGAAGAAAGAGAACTTGGAACTGTGGAGATAGTCAAACCTAGGTTTAAAACTGAATTTTGTCACTGATGGCTGTGTAACCTTAGACCAAAAAATGTACCCATCTGGCCTCAGTTTCCCCATCTTTAAAATGGGGATAACGCCTCCCTTGTGAAATTTGTTAGAAAGTCTTAAAACAATGAATGGAAGGAGCTTAATCCTAATAAGTGCTCATCGAATGACAAATTTCTTTTTTTTTTAGATTTATTTATTTATTTTAGAAAGAGAGAGAGCCTACAAGCAGGGGGAGGGGCAAAGGGAGAGGGAGAGAGAGAATCTCAAGCAGACTCCCTGCTGAGAATGGAGCCCGAGGTGGGGCTTTACCTCAGGACACTGAGATCATGACCTGAGTAGAAACCGAGTTAGATGCTTAACTGATGGAGCCACCCAGGTGCCCCTTGAATGACAACTTTCTTCTCTTCCACACTCACCAAGGCCTTGCTCATAGAACCCTCAATAAAAAAATGATGATTCTCTTACCTTGTTCTTGTACCCAAGCAGCAATGTAGAGAATGAATGAAGGCCAGCATCAGCTCAACATGCTTCCTAATGCCGAACACTTCTTTCAAGTTCAGGAGATACTGTTTAGCTGACCACACCATTTAAGATCTGAAGATGGATTCTGAGAATTCAGAGTAATGAGTATCCTGAATTTCTCTCACCAGTCGTGGACAGAAATCCCCTCACAATGCACTGAGCTTCAAGGCTGACTGGCAGGATTTGACACATCCAGGCTAGTCCCTGAATCAAAAGTAAGAGAGATATGTTTTAAATAATGAGGATTTGAAGAAGTAAAATAGTTCTACTCTATGATCAGTTTTCCCATGTGGAAGCTTTTCTATGCCTTGAATCAGTCTTGGTTTTTTCCTAGTATAATATCCTGGTCTCACAAGGGTAGAGACAGAATCAGACAAATTTAGAGCAGTGAGTACAGTTGATCCCATAATCTGTACCTTACTGAGAAGATCTGTGGCTGTGTGCTCATGGTGTCTTTAGAGCCTCCTACCTTCTAACAGGCTCTAACTCAACCAACCCCTTGCCATGGGCATCTCATAAACCTTATCCTGAGCAAGGCCCACCCCACTGTTTTTCACCACCAGCTGATCTTCCAATGTGAGATTCACGAAACTATATTTCTTACCAGAGTCCTTGCTTTCCCCCAGAGATGGTTGCCTGTCTTCTTGGGGTTTTCCTGAGCAACATGAGGACAGATGCCATGACTAACTTATTCACAGGTGTAATCCTGGGTGAACTAATGTTAAAGTGATTGAATTGTCCAATATATACCATATCTACTGATTGCTGAAATCACTTCACTCACTCACTTCTTGATTCAATATTTATTAAATATCTCCTATGTGCCAAGAACTGTGTAAGGGGCCAGGGTGACAAAGATAACACAGTCCTCTGCCCACAAGAATCTCCAGATGAAAGAGAGAGTGTGTGGAAGTGAGTAATATGACTAGAGCTATCAGAAAGATATGAACATGCTGCTCTTGACACCTGGAGGAGGAAGAATTAAATCTGTTTGAATAGATGAGCTAATGCTTCCAGGACTTGTGGCCAGCTCAGTGTTTAGGATGAGAAGCAGTTCTCCAAGTGAGCAACGGGGGAAGGGGAGGCATTCTTGTCAAAGGGAACTGAATGATGTGCATGGGGTGGATCTGGACTTCACAGAGCAAAAAAATCGAGTTTGTGTTGGATATGAAGGACACAAAAGGCCCATCTGTACATGGGTACCATTTGGAGGCATGGCAGGAAGTGATAGGAAAAGCCTTCAAAACTTTCTCCCCAAAAGTAATTTCTTCCTTGGTAACTGGGAATATTTGAAAACACTGTCAAAATAACTGCCTCTTTTCTTCCTCCCTGGCAATCTTTTGGCAGCTGTGCCTTCCTGACCCCACCTCTGTTTCTCTGTCTCCTCTATTTTCTAACCAACTTGCAACTTTCCCTTCCTCAGTCGCAGAGTCCCTGTTAGAGTCAGTAGGAAAGTACTGCTGCCCCAGGTTAAGAGGGAAAAAAGGACCTGGAGAACACTATTTCAGGACCACAGTGGTGTGGGGCCTGCCCACCATCCACACATCAATAATGCCTATCCAGACCCTTGAGGCCCTATACAAACCTGGAAATACAGCCTCAAAGTCTGGTAAGCAAACAAGGAAAAATGGACAAAGCCCGAAGCACAATATGAAATTTTAAAATATGCCTCTCAATAATTGGCAAAACAGACCAATCGTAGTCAAGGTATACTCTACATCTGAAACTAATGATGTACTATATGTTGGCTAATTGAATTTAAATAAAAATTTTAAAAATAAATAAAATATTTGAAGAATATGAAAACAAAGTTGGCCTAATGGATCGATATACAATACTGCATCTAGTAATTACAAAAGTTTTACAAAAATTTAAAGTCTGGAACATTTCCCAAAATTGACCCATTGTGCAGTATCAACATATTTCAAAGGACTGAAATCATACAGACTATATTCTTTGACAACTATCCAACCAAGCTAGCAATCAGTAACAAAAGATAACTAAAAAATCCTCGTCTGTTTGGAAATTAAAGAATATACTTTTAAATATTCACAAGTCAAAGAATATATCACAATATAAATTAGAAAAATATTTAGAACTTAATAAAGTAGAAACGAGTAGTATCACTTCTCTGGAGGTTGAATAACAATGAGTTTTTCTATACTGCATTCAAGATCTTAAATTCTTAAGCAAAACATTAAGAGCTCAGTGGACTGAAAGGCACATGATATAAAAACAAATTTTTCACAGTAGGAATTAAAATTAACAAGCGAACATAGAAATACATTCAGCCTTACTAATTATAGTAGCAAAATATAAAATATATAAATAAAAAAGAAAGAAGTCACATTTTATGTCAATTAAATTTAAAGTATTTTTAAAATTATAATACCTACTGCTGATAAGATTGAAATCAAGTACTGTATTTATACATTTCTATTAGCAGAGTAAATTAGTACAATCTTTTAAGGCAATATGAAGGCATGTTTTTAAAACATAAAAATGATTATATCCTTTGATTTGGTTAATCTCATTCCTGAGAATTTATTCCAAGGAAATCATTCAAAAGAAGAGGGGAAAATACTATCCATGGCACTGTTGACAGTAACATCATTTACAAAGCTCACAAATAGAAATTTCCTAATGCTCATTAATGAACTTCAATAAAAATGAACTACCACCTACTGGATGGATGCTAGAGAGGAAAATATGATTAAGACATAGTCTCGGGCACCTGGGTGGCTCAGTTGGTTAAGTGACTGCCTTCGGCTTAGGTCATGATCCCGGAGTCCCGGGATCGAGTCCCACATCGGGCTCCCTGCTCGGCGGGGAGTGTGCTTCTCCCTCTAACCCTTCCCCCTCTTGCGCTCTCTCTCTCACTCTCTCTCTCTCAAATAAATAAATAAAATCTTTAAAAAAAAAAAAGACATAGTCTCTACCCTAAAAACAGTCACAACTTGGAAAGGGGGAATAAGAAGGTATTGAATGACAAACTGAATGACAAACAGTAATTATGAAAAGTATACAGACCTGGGGAAGAGGGAAAATGCTTAAGATAATAATAATGGAAGAAAAGCAGAGTATAATCTTTTATCTGTTATGGTTCAATTGTATATACATATGTACAAGGGCTAACATGGATAAATAAAAATGGGATTGGGAGGTACGTTTTTCTTTACATTTTACTTAAAATAGTTATAATTTATTTAGACAACAGTGTAATAACTTTTTAAACTGTCCTATGATAATATTCATAATGCTTGAACAACCTTTGAATAATCAAATGAAAGTGAGACCCAAGTGTATTGCTTAAAATTAGTTCAATTTTTAGCAGGTCCCAGTAGCTATTATCTCCTTGGCACATTTGCCTATTTCAACATTTGGCTCTGCCACATACACAGTCAGATCTTCACATATATTTTCATTTATGTAACATTGGTTTCCAACCAACACAGTTCTCTATAACCTTCTTCCTCATCCCCAGGCACGTGATCAAGACTGCAGCTGCTTCTCACAGCCCTTCTTTCTCTTACTCCCATTATTTTTTTAAGTGTTTAATTCTGCACTAGAAAGGCTCTTGACCAAGATCTTCAGCTGCTCCCAGTCCTGGAGAGAAGGTAGAACAGAGGCTGTGATTGGCTCTTCTGTGGGTTCCATATGTGGGAGCTGGATCAAATGAGGTCTTTCAGTGGCATGGGTCCAGGAGTAGGGAAAAGAGAGTTTAGGATCCCTAACTTCAAAGATTCTAGCTTGGGGCATAAAGCACCAATAGGAGTAGATGAATAAAGGAGGTGGTACAACTATGATCATATGTAAGGGTTCTGGAGTCATATTTTCTGGGTTTCAATTCTGACTTATCAATAAATCCCAATGTATTCATCTATGAAATGGTGGCAATAATAACCCTTTACCTCACAGAACAATTACAAGATTGAGATCAAGCATGCAAATCCATAACACAGTACCTGGCTCATGGTAAGCACTCAATAAATGGTAGTTTAACTATTGTTTTTTCAATTATTGCTGAGAAGAGGACTTCTTGCACAGGGCTGTTCAGAAAAGGCCCTCTAGTCACATAAGGGAGACATCAGAACATCATATGGGTCTCAGTAGGAAAGGGTAGGCCATGCTAGCAATTTGTTCTGAGCATTCTACAAACATGCCCTCCCACCGCCCCCCTTGCCTGTTATGCACTACACCCCACGAGGATACTTAAGGCTACCAATGGCAGGCAGAGTTGTTGATTCCATCACAAATGGACAGCTGACATTTCAGCCACATAACCAAAGAGGCCACTCCCAGGGAGCTCCCAAACTTAACTTGAGTCTAGCCACCTCTGCCTTGACTCACTCTCTAAAGTAGCCCTTCTGGGGCACCTGGATGGCTCAGGTCATGATCCCAGGGTCCTGGGATCGAGCCCCACATCGGGCTCCCTGCTCGGCGGGAAGCCTGCTTCTCCCTCTCCCACTCCCCCTGCTTGTGTTCCCTCTCTCGTTGGGTCTCTCTGTCAAATAAATAAATAAAATCTTAAAAAAAAAAAAAGTAGCCCTTCTTCATAGCACCCCTTAACAACACATTCACAGTTCATTTAAGAGCATATCTTTACTGCAGTGTAACAATCTGGGAGATACAAATTACACAATTTAAATAAAACACAATGACACAATCACAATCCGCACAGGTGTTATGCAAGAAGAGCCCTTAATGGTTGCAATCATCCCTCCGAAAATTATACACTGCAGCCCAGCTTCTAACTCCTGACCCTCTGTCCAGTCACACTACTTCTTTCTCCAAGGTCTCATAGAGTCCCCTTTAGCCTCCAGGGTCCCAGGAAAAGTAATGACTTTCACTTAAGGTATTCTGACCACAGGACTGACCAATTTTCCTCAACAGCTTGGCCCACAAAACTGACAGGCTCCTGATTTCATCCATAAAGATACAGTCTCATGCTCTGCAACCAAAAGGCAGTTTGTAGGACTGTTTCATTCGGGCCCACAGGTGCAGAAATTGAGAATAAATGTTTTAAAGGGAATATAGCGACTTGACAGAGCCAAGACACCCAGCATATGATCAGTCGCCTCATACGGGATTGATACTAGATTTGAACTCATAGAATGAATTGCATGTAGCATGAGTTGTGTCATTAGTCACGTGCCACTGCAGAAGCATTTACTTGTCAGTGTAAGATTGGCAGAGGAACTGGAGAACTAATCCTTTACTACAGGTTGTCTGAGAAGCATTAGTTTAACCTCTGAGCTAAATGTTCCAGAAAAGCTTGTACTACTGGTTAGCTATCTCTTTGACTTCACAAAAACAGTTTTAAAACCATGAATGGCCAGGAGAGAAGGCAGAAATACAGCACAACCACCTTTTTTAGTTTTCAATAAAGAGCATTAAACAACAAAGCAGAACTATACCAAAAGTCTACAGTCTTCATAATTATTTCATAAAAGATCAAGTTAATGCCAAAAAGGAGAAAGGACAAGTTCAGTGTAAGGTACCAAGAACTGTGGGCCATCACGTATGAACATATACAGCTCCGCCTATACACAGAGATTTTCACTACATTTTCCTCACTTCACAGACTGGTAGAAATGTTGTCATGACTGGTCCACAGACTCCCATTTAGGAAGCACTGGTCTATCTAGCTTTCCGGGCTCCTATTTCACTGACCCTTAAGTCCTCCAGTGCCTCGAGTGACCTTGCTTCCTCTGTCCGGGAAGTTCAGACTCCTTAGCATGGCATACCAGTTTCTCAATGATCTAGGGTGCTGTTCACCCCTCCAACATTAACTCTCAAGATAATTCCCAGCATTGTACTAAACATTTTCAGTTCCCTAGCACATTCAAAGGGCCCAATATGCCCCAGACAAAAGGAGTGCCATGCAGGCTTATAATTACAAATACATGAAATTAACAGAACCCAGTGGGACTAGCTTGAGGTACAGGACTGATTAAGGTGAGAGCTTACGTCTCCTTTATCTCCTCCTTAGCCTGGTTATTTCCCTCTCAATACATAGATATTAAGGATAAGCTCCCTTCTCATCAGAAATCCAGGAACGGTGCATAGATTAAATTACTTATCATCTATCACTTCCAATGTAGTTACCAGACAATACACTCAGGCCACAGGTACCACATTCCAGGCAGCAATCTGGCCCTCCAGAGATGAATCTGTGGATTAATGCTCCCTATCCTTTGATCTCCAAACCCCTTCACTGCTTAAACTCCATTAGCAGGCTTCTTCTTTTCTTTCACAGTTTCTGTCCTCTAGGCCATTTCTCTAAGTGACATTACTGCTTTCAGCTACCAGACCTTGTTCTGAGTTCACACTCTCTACCCTTGGATAAAATGGTCTCTAAATAAGTTGTGACTGTCCTGGCTCAAGGTCACCAACATCTGGCTCACCTGTATTTTTCGAAACCACAGCTTCCAACCAAGCATAACCTTTGGTTACAATAAAAGAACGTATTATTTGCAAGATACAAATAAGGGTGAACAAGGGAAAGGGAGGTAACCTATCACACTATTTCCTAAAGATATCATCTAGAAGCAGCCAACCTATAAAGGATTATACTTTTTCATAATGAAGCTACTGTACTCTGTTATGGAAGGAGGGAGAGAGAGACAGACAGATGGAAATCAGATAGCAAATAATCCTTTGGACCTAGAAAAGATGTACCACATAGAAAAACAACAAATTGACTTTTTGTTTAATAGATCAATCTCCTGCGAAATGTCCCATGAGGCAAGTGGCTAGTATCCCATTGTATGGGGTAGCCCTGATAAAATCACCCCTTGAAGAAGTGCAACTGAGGGGCAGTTTCCATTTCCTACTAGGTTACAGCCTCCTACATGGTCCAGGCATAAACAGCTCTCTACAAGGTCCATTTCTTAAAGCAACATCTTCAGTTTCTGTGGAACGGTTTCCCTTCTTGAGTGGAATGAATCACTCACTTCTACCATTCCTATAGCCTACACTCAGATGGTCATGCCATACTTTCATTTACAGTGGAAACATATCCAAACTTCCTGATCTTTTTTTCATCTATCCATGTGATTCCTGTCCTTGAGAAGTGACAACTTGGTTACAATGGTTAAAAATAAAAATCTGAGTCCGCCGGGGTGGGGGTGGGGCGGGGGCTGGAACTCCTGTATATCATTGAGTAGTAAATGTAATGTTGCCATCTACAGAAAAGGTAACAATTCAAGGTGGAGGAGGGTGCATGTAAGATAGTGCAAAAGGCAAGATAGTGCAAACTCAACGGGCCTAATAAAATCCAGAAAAGATCAAAGGAAAGGAGAGAGAAGTAGGAGGGCATCTGAGAAAGCAAAGAGCAAGGGCTGTAAGGTAGGAAGTGAGAGTGTTTGTGGTGTTGAGTGGGGAGAAAGAACTGTCTGGTACTCACAGAGTCCTTTGGGGAGAGGCAAGAGGTAGGGCTGGATTGGTGTGACCAGGCCAAAAAGGGGAGGGCCTAATAACCTGCATGTGGGGAAGAAGGGAATAGAAAATGTTTCAGTAAAGTTTCTTACTGGAATTAAGCTAGTATAAATCTGAAGTAAGTTCTGATAAGATGTATGTTGTAAGCCTTAGAGTAATCCGCTAGAAAAATAACTCAAAACATAGTTTAAAAAAATCATAAAAGGAATTAAAATGACCTACCAGAAAATATTCATTTGCAAATATCTTCTCCCATTCTGAACTGTACACTTTAAATAGGTGAAGAGTAGAGTTTGTGAGTTGTACCTCAATAAAGCTATTTTTTAAAAAAGGACACGAGAGCTGGTTTTGTACATAATTTTAATGAATCAAAAACCATTAAATCTATGAAAATCCATGAGTCTATAGAAAAAGAATATGTGCACTTAACAGCATTTAAGATGGCTCTTAAATCCTTATTTTGAAAACTAATGTTTAAAAGTAAAGAATCAAGCTTTTCTCCTATCTCCCCAGAATTGACGATTTTGAGGAATTTTAAATTTTATTGCCTGTAATAGTATTTTAGTGAAGTAGGAAAATACTCTTATTTTTGAGATGTGTCCTAAAGGGGAGAGGAAAACTGTAATATCTGTCGGCTACCTTAAAGTATGTCAATATAAAAAATTATTTTAAGTTAGTAATATGTTAATTATCATGAAAAGCCAAAATAATTTCTGTATGTCCTGTTGGTTAATAGACAAGATAATACCGCACCGAGCTTATCAGTTTTGTAAAACTGGGGGAAACTGGACAAAGGTGATCACACATAACCAGTATTTAGAAAAAATTTTCCACATATCCCCAGGGATGAAAGCATCCCAGTGTGTGCAAAACAGAATTTGTTGTGTACAAATGGTTTAAAGGGATGGGAGGCAATGAATAACAGACCAGTCACAAAGAGTGTGATCAAGGGTCCCAATATACTCCCTGATGAGGCACAGAGAACACACATCTTTCATTTTGATGAAACAAAAGCAAAGGAAGAGAAAAAGTTATAAAGAGCATCCTTTGCTCAACTTACCTTTTGGGGCCAGCTCTCCTGCTCTTCTTGCTTAGGGCTCCCTGTGGCTGGGTGAAACATAGCTCTCTCCTTTGCGCCAGCTGAGAGATCAGAACTGGTTTGCAAGTCAGTGACACTACTTGAAGGAAAGAAGATGATGAGTAGGTAAATATTCTTATTTTTGAAATATATCCTATGATGAGCAGAGTCATAGTAGCCAATCACAGCCTGTGGCTGCAAAATGAGGAGAGTGATTCCTGGGTGAATGGAGCAAGAGGGACCCTAAAGAGGTATAGGGAGGTGTCCTGGAGAGAAGCCTTTGACTAGTGCTCCCAAGGAAGCCTGAAACAAATTCTGAGATACAAATTTCTATTAAAAGGGAAACAAAACTTCTTACCTTCTTAGTTAGAGAGTATAAAATTCCCACTGTGGGGAAACAGACACATGATGGAGCAGCTCCCACAGGGAGACTAATAGGCGAGTTCTCTCAGGATAACCTGGAGGTTCAATACTAGCGAGAAGGTACCAAGATTTGGCTCCAGCCCCACTGTATCCAGAGAATCACCTCTAAGACACTTAGGGAGAGAGAGTAACTTTTATGATGTAAAAAGAAGGAAAACTTTCTTGGAGGTCATAAGTCATGGAGGGCTCTCCTTGCCTGGCAACCCTTGGCATTGCCATTCAGGGTCAGCTAATAGTTATAAGAGAACGCTTTAACCTCTAAGGGCCCAGGCAGACATGAGTAGCAAAGAGACCTTACGTAAGAAAGCCACAGTCCCATAGTTTTCCAGCATCAATCCCTGTTACAAAGCCCTATAAGCAGGCACCAAGCTGGCCCATTCCTTCTCGGTGAAGTACTCAGTCATGTCTTCAAAAGTTACTGATTCCCGAGAGGACAAGTTCCTGCTCTCTCAGGCCTCAGGACTTTGGTGATGGTCAAAACCATTACTGAGAGGCATAGGAAGGGCATCAAGGGCATCTACAATGATGAGTATTTAGCACTGGGTCCCTCATGTGCCAGAGGGGTTTTTGTGTGAAATTTGAAAGGTGTGGAGGCAGAGGACACAGAATAAAAGGCAGACAGCCAGGCAGAGTTCAGCACACTTTTCCAGTTAGAACCAAATCCATCTCCATTATGAGCTTCCAAACATATGTGACCTCAAAATAGATTACTATATACAAGCTGGGCTTGGGCCTGGGTCTGAAAGTACATATACAAAAGGAGAACTAACATATAATTGGATGGGGCCATCACCTTAGCTCTAAGTCCCTCCCCACCTTGTAATGTATTTGGATGATTATTTGGGCTGTCATTTTACTGCCATATCCCAATTCTGCTTTTTGCCAGTGTTTCCCTCATTCTTGTCTCCTTGCCCCACTATCGTGGGCACAAAGCTCTCAGATCTGCCTATGACTCCCCACCCCCATGCAAAGATAGTGAGGATAGAGAGGCATAGGAAAATGCTGCTTACTTGGGATAGGCTAGAGAAAATTTGCTTTTCAAAGGACACCATGAAGACCGTGAAAAAGCCACAGACCAGGAGAAGATATTTCATAATACATATACCTGACAAAGGGCTCATATCCATAATAAAGGACTACAACGTGGAGAAAAGAAAACACACACGATGTAATAAACAATGGGGAAAATATCTGAACAAGGACTTCACATAAGAGGATATCCATGTAGCCAACAAACATTATGAAATCGTGCTCCATATCACTGCTTATTGGGGAAAAGGAAAATTTAAAACCTCAATGAGCTATCAAGAATGAATGACAAAAAGTGTTGGCAAGGATGTAGAACAACTGGAAATCTCATATACTGCTGGTAAAAGTATAAACTGGAACAACCATTTCAGAAAATTGTTGGGAAGCACCTATTAAAACTAACCAAATATGTATACCCTATGCCTTAGCAATCTGACTCCAAAAGGTATTGCCAAGACAAACGAGTGCATGCATCCACCAAAAGGCATATACAAAAACGTTCACTGCATTCTTATTCACAGTAGTTAAAATCTGGAGACAACCAAAATGTCCAGCTACATTCTACGAATGAGTAAATAAAATGTGGTATAACCATATAATGGAAAACTATTCAGCAATGAAAAAGAACAAACTACTGCTATGTGTGAACAGGGGCAAAATTCAGTGACATAATGTTGAACAAAAGAAGGCAGATACAAAAGAGTACATGTTGAATGACTCCATTCATATGCATCTAAGAACAAATAAAACTAATCTATGATGACAGGTCAGAATAATGGTCAACTTCAGGGGGGTGCATAAAGTAGTCTTTTGAGATACCAATAACGTTCTATGTCTTAATATGAGTGATGGTAATACAAGGGTATATATTTCTAAAAAGCGAGCTATACAGTTCAGATTTGTGTCATAAATAAGTTATATCTCAATAGGACAGTAAATTTATATCGTTTATATATGCAAATATAAAAATATGTTACATATATTTTTATATATGCATGTATACTTACATATGCATGTATATAACTTATATAAATGTATATTTATATTGAACGTACATTTGTACATGCATACATGAAAGTATACACGCATATATAAATATACATATGTATATACACACATGTGTATGTGCAGAGGTAGAGGAAACACAGCTCACCTGGGGCCTGGCTTTTAAGGATATTGCTGTCATCATCTGACCTCTTTTATTCTTATCTTGGGGAAAAGTAAGTCTCAGGAGCTGAAGATAAAGAAAGAAGCTTTAGTAACAGTAACCCTACTGACCAAAACTCCTGTACACACATCTGACCCCCCTGTTTGAGGCTACGTGAACTACTACTATTCATCAGTTACTGCCTTGTATCATGGCAATTCTCATCTCAGTGATGAAATAGTGGGCATAGAGAGGAACACAGAAAGGAAACAAAAATCATCCCAAGAGGGGCACCTGGGTGGCTCAGTTGGTTAAGCGACTGCCTTCGGCTCAGGTCATGATCCTGGAGTCCCTGGATCGAGTCCTGCATCGGGCTCCCTGCTCTGCGGGGAGTCTGCTTCTCCCTCTGACCCTGCTCTCTCTCATTCTCTCTCTCAAATAAATAAATAAAATCTTTAAAAAAAAATCATCCCAAGAATGTGTGATGAGGAGGTAGACTGAGAAATCTGTAACTTTCAGTAATCCAGAGAAACATCATAGGAAAGAGGACAGAAAAGGAAACTAAAGTGGTTAGTGAATAGAATGTGATAGGCTGAAAAGAAAGCTGGGGCTCCAGTTAAGATCTCTAGAATCCACACAGTACAGTTAGGAATGAGTTATTTACAAGGAATCCATCAAACACCATAAGATCCCCCAGATCTGTTTTTCCTCTTATGTTCTTTAAAATATTAGAATAGGACAGTTTTATTACCTAAGTAATAAGTCAGAACAGAATTTGGAAAGAGTTTATTAGGAATATCCTTATGTCTCTCCACTACTATTTTTCCCTCTAAATACACAGATTGATTATAAGATCTTCATTCAGTTTTGTAAGTGTTGGGGGTAGATGGTGAGAAGAAACATACTACCATATTAAATGATCCATCAACTTCATGACGTATCTCAAATACTCCAAGTTCTAAATATTATAGTATAAGAGAAGCAAAGCAATTTCATTTCTAATATCAGTTAATAGTGCATCATTAAGAAGTAAGCCTTCTGCCATTCAGTAGAGTGAATCAGCAAGGTTTACACATTAAAGGTAACACCTGAAATTCAAATAGCTGCTATCAGGTCAGGATTATTTAACAAGCACAAAAGTGAATGCACTTATAGACCTTAAAAACAACTTACATTTCAGCTCCATTTCTGCAGTTTGCTGTAAGTCTCAGGTACTACAATAGCATCAGACAAAAGACTTTAGATACTCAGTACACTGCCCATTCCTCCACTGACCCTTCTTAGTGAATCCGGAAAGTCATCCAGGAAGGTAGACGAAGCTGAGGCTTTCAGAGAAACAGAGCTGTTAGGAGAGGCTAAAAACCATATTTTGGCGATTATAGGGAATCCAATAAGGAAAAAGAGAAGGTATTAGTGCAGGAGGTACAAGAAAACACAATGCAAACCCACACAAGTAATACTGCTAAATTCATGGATGGTTTTTGTCCCAGGGTAACAAAAAGAAGTGATTCATACTGAGTAAATAGGTCCCCCTTGTAGCTGTGTGCTCTAGTTCCCTTAAATCATACTGCCGTCCTCTCTTTGTAATAAATGTCCCTTACAATGGATACTTAATAATATTGGCATCTGAAACAAAAGGATTGAAGCAGAAAGGTCTGATCTGCACAGGTGACAATCTGTGAAAAGAAAATCCTCTGGAAGTAGAACAACAGCAGAGACCACCCAACAAAACATTCCCTCCTACTTGCCTATGAGGAAAACCAAATCTATGGAGTTGAAGCATAGATAACAAGCTCAAGTTGAAAATAAATCACAACCCAACACACTTCACTAACAGCAGGGACCAAATATTTAATCTGATTGTTAGGAACCCTAACAATTAGATTATGACAATGACGGGAAAGTTAAGAGAATGTAATGAGAAGAGTGACAAAGGATGTGAAAAGGTTAAGAAATCTCTTCGTATCTTCAATACTGTATATATGAAACTGTATGCTAAACATTGGACACCTATTAGGTGCTTGGTGGCTAGGACTCGTCATGAGATTTTTATTTATTTTTTATTTTATTTTATTTTATTTTTTTAAAGATTTTATTTATTTATTTGACAGAGAGAGACATAGCGAGAGAGGGAACACAAGCAGGGGGAGAAGGAGGGGAGAAGCAGGCTTCCCCGCGGAGCAGGGAGCCCGATGTGGGGCTCGATCCCAGGACCCTGGGATCACGACCTGAGCCGAAGGCAGACGCTTAACGACTGAGCCACCCAGGCGCCCCCGTCATGAGATTTTTAGATTAAACATTCATATGGGACAATCCAAATCCAGGGCTCTACGTTCTCCCATTTGTGGATGAAGTAAATAGCTTCCATCTTGGGGTAAAAAGACCCAACTATTTCAATATTCCCAAAACTTGGCTCTATGGACAGCTTCCAGATTGGGTTTACACCAGGCCAGGCAAGTGAAGTAAGTGAAGGACCACCAGAAAAGGCAGAAAGACCATTAAGACATACACAGGCCGCGGGGCAGGGCTGAGGTCTCCACAGCTGGGACAAGAGAGGGCTGGAGCGACCGGGAAGTCGTGTTCTCTATTGATAGCATGTCCTGGAGCGAAGACCTTTAAAACTTTTTGAGGACCTCGGTGTCAATACTCGAATCTGTGTCAGTACCAGAATCTGAACAGGCCACAAGCTGTCGTGGGGACGAGAAACCAGCGGGCAAGACCAGGGTCCCGGGGCTGTCAGCGCCCCCTCTCCATGGAATCGAGTTGAGCTCAAGGGGTTGGGTGAGGATCCCTGTAGCAGCAGTAACTGCGCCCATTTCCCGCGGAGTCCTTCACCTCCTGCTCAGGCCAAGCCAGACCCGCTCACCGTGGGCTCCCGGCAGCCTCTACAGCTTTCTAGCTAACAGGTTTGGGGCACCACTCCTGGTCCTCACAAACTAAACCCTCACGCGTTAAAGAAAATAGGGGCTGCGCCGTAAGTACGTCATCACACTGTACATTTTCTGAAATTCTCTCTAGTAAACTTGGAGGACCCCACATCTCGGGGGTTCCCACCCCCTTCTAGTTCCTGAGAGACACATCTGAGGAAAAGGGAGGGCGGGTGAAGCGGTAGCTAGCTTCTTTCCCTGCCTCCAGAGACCCAGAAGAAGCTTCTACACCTGATCTCCAGCAGGAGGCGGAGCCTAAGACTAAAGCAAGAAGCAGGGTACTATTTCATTGGCTATCAGATGAGGGGGCGGGGCCCAGCCAGGCCAATGAGCAATAGATCCCGCATAGATCATCCTTCCCCTAGGCGGCAGCAGCCTGTTCCCCGTCCAGACAGGCCCGGGCCCCACCTGGCAGATTTCCCATCTGGAGGTGTCTCTTCAGAGCCTGGAAGAGCAGTCGGTCTGGTGGGGAGATCTGAACAAGGCTAAGGGCTGGCCTGGACGGGGTGGGGACTGCAGAGCAGAGGAGCCTCCGAAACGTTTGCTGAATGAATGGAAGTCGAGAAATAGAGTAGTGATCTTATTGTGCACCCAGAAGACCCTAAGGATGTCAAGAAGGCGGTGCTTTTTGGTCCTGCATAGTAGGGAGAACCACCTTGCATGGGGAGGGAGGGTCAGTAGCAGGACGAAGTGAGTCTAGGCCCCACCTAGAAGCCTACATACCTGCATACCTTTCTTAGACTACCTTGATTGGTTTCGTTAGTTTCATTTGTCCACCACTACTGGATGTCCTCATTTGCTACTGTAATGCCCTACACGGGACTCAAGTTTACAACTCTTTTATCTCACATTCATGTTCAACCATTGTCTCCCACAAAACCACCACACAGCCAAGAAGGCTGGATCCAGAGGAACATACAGCTCTCAGTCATGTCCTACTGAGGCCAACACTTCCCTAGAATTGATGAGAACCTTGTGTGGAACCTAGATCATATCTCTTCAAGGTAATTTAATCTCAAGTCCTCAGTGGTTGGCATGACCCCAGACCTTTATAAGAACTCCTCTGATCACTCCCAAAAGACCTTTAAATATGGGAGAGCAAGGGTTAGGATCTCACTTCCTGTTCAGAAGAAACTAAGTCATCACAAGGTACATGGCTGGGTAGATATGCCAAGGCAAAATCAAAAGATCCTAAACCATAGTGGTTAGTATAGTATTCATTTTAGAAAAGCAATTTAGGGTGGCGCCTGGGTGGCTCAGTCGTTAAGCGTCTGCCTTCGGCTCAGGTCATGATCCCAGGGTCCTGGGATCGAGCCCCACATCGGGCTCCCTGCTCAGCGGGAAGCCTGCTTCTCCCTCTCCCACTGCCCCTGCTTGTGTTCCCTCTCTCTGTCAAATAAATAAATAAAATCTAAAAAAAAAAGAAAAGAAAAGAAAAGCAATTTAGTTTCAGCAAAACATCACTGTCCCTAACATTAAATTAATTCAATTTGAATATTGAATTGAATATTCAGTTGTAATTGTCTAAATAATCTAAAAACATAAAGAATTTATATCAAGCTTTAAGAAAACACATGTCTAAATGCTTTTACACATTTTGCAAATTCTTAGCCATCCCATTGCCGTAAATATAAACCAATGAGCATATTTTTAGCCATTTAGAGACTACCTGCTTTGCATAAACCATGAAACTGCACCTAACATCTGCTAGCCATAGATAAGACAAACCCTGTGGCCATAGAAGATCCTAAACCACTGCTGCCCTTCAAAGCTCTCTGACCCAGAGCCTCCCACCTTGCTGCTGAGTGACACTGCCTAGACAGGTAAGCCTCCTTTCTAATGGCCCCCCTAAGCCCAGACCCACCCCCACCCCCCGCCCACCCCCAGAATTTCCTTACCTTCTTTCCCTACTGGGCAGTCCCCTTCTGTAAGGATTTACCCTCTTCCACAATCCCAGGACAGGGGCTACCCAAGCCATCTCCTGGTCTTCTTGTCTCTTTCTTTCCTTTCTTTCTCTTGTCTTTTTCTTGATCAGCCCTGAAATCCTTGAACTCACCATGGTATTGAAACAATATGGATCATTTTGCCTCTTCAGTTCTCTAATACCATTTATTTAACATTACATCATGACTAATGACATGGCAGCATCATGCCACCCACAAATACTGGTTTCTAATGATACTCTCAAAGATGGTTTCAATGACTACAAATACAAATCTTACAAAGAATATGGAGGAAATGTGAATTGTAATACGTTTTCTGGACATGTTAAATATACCATGTGGAATGTTAAAGCATAATCATTAAATAACATGTTTTACAACCATGACTTCTCTGGAACTGTTGTCTCAGTCTATTTGGATTGCTGTAACAAAATACCAGAGACTGAGTACTTATAAATAATTATATTTCTCACCATCTGGAGGCTGGGAAGTCCAAGATCAAGGGACCAGCATGGTTGAATTCTGGTGAGAGCCCTCTTCCTGGTTCATAGACAGGGTCTTCTTGCTGTTTCTTCAAATAGTGGAAGGGAGCTACAGAAGTCTGTGGGGTCTCTTTTATAAGAACACTAATCCCATTCATCAGAACTCCATCCTCATGACCTGAGCACTTCCCAAAGGCCCTACCTCCTAATACCATCACATTGGGAATAGGATTTCAACATTTGAGTTTTGAGGGGACACAAACATTCAGACCACAGCAACTGCTACAATCACTCCATTCCTAAAACATGATGCCTTTCAATGTTGATCACACCTCTCCCTTCCACACACCACCACCAGTGGGGAGGATAAGCAGTGGACCCATGAGCAGAGTAGGAAGAGCAGTTCAATTTATCTAAGAAATATCCATCCCCATCCAGCACAACTTAAGACAGACCCAGGACAACATGGCAACACTACATCAATTTATTTTTTTTTAATTTATTTATTTGAGAGAGAACACAAGCGGGCGGGGGGAGAGAAAGAGAGGGAGAAGCAGACTCCCCGCTGAGCAGGGAGCCCGACACAGGACTCCATCGCAGGACCCAGGATCATGACCTGAGCCGAAGGCAGACGCTTAACCGATTTAGCCACCCAGGTGCCCAACGCTACATCAACTTAAAGATGAGAGGACATCAGAAAGCCTGTTGAAAGCCCTTAGAGGTTATATGAGAGGCTACTCCCAGAGAACTGCCTGACATGTGGTTCTAGAGCCTGTAGCAGGGGGAAAGTGACCACCCTGGATGCCAACAATGTGGGGACGCAAGATAAAGGACATTTGTCGCTGCCTCCATTATCCTTGGGTGTTATAGACATAGGCAGCATTGCAGTAGGAACACAGATGAACAAGAGTTGACACAAAGGCCCATGCAACTCATACCCAAGGGCTAGCAGTGGATCCACAGTAGCCGAGGCCCTGAATTCAACCTGTGAGTGACATGAGCGAGTCACTGTCAGCACCCAAAATCACTGTCACCATCATTCTGATGGCCCAGTCTCATGTGATCTTGTGAAAGAAAAACCACGCCAGCCACCCTCCTAAAACTGAGGCCCAGTCTTGGGACCTCAGGACAACCGTATGGGTGTGCACCTAGTCAACTCCACACACAGGGTAAAAGGTCAGAGAGTGTCCCAAAGGGGAGAAACAGAGCCTAGGGCCTACGCATGTCAAAATCTACTCTTGGAGCATCCCATTTGACAGCACTATTGGACCCAGCCACCCCCAAGAGCAGTGGATGACATAAAAAAAATGTAGAGGAAGCAACTCCAAAACGTAAGAACCCCTGCATGCCCTGAGGTGGGACCCTGTTTTCCTTTGCCTAATGGTGCTACTGGGCATGTATTTAAGTGCATGGCCAGAGAGTTGCACATACCATTTCATCACAATGGCCAGTAGCTGGTCACATGTCCAAACATACCTATAGGAGAAACTGGGAAATTTAGCAATTTCTATAAGAGCAAAGGAGAATGGGCACCTGGGTGGCTCAGCGGGTTAAGTGTCTGCCTTTGTCTCAGGTCATGATCCCAGGGTCCTGGGATTGAGTCCCACATCGGGCTCCCTGCTCCGCGGGGAGCCTGCTTCTCCCTCTGCCTCTCTCTCTCTCTCTCTGTCTCTCATGAATAAATAAATAAAAATTTAAAAAGGAGCAAAGGAGAATGGAGACTAGGAGATGAGTAACAGTCTGTACCATAATCATTGTAAGACAGGATGAAAGATAGACTAGAAAGCTGAATATTTAGCTTTTCCATACTGTATAGTGAAAGACAGCAAGAGAGAAAGGTGCTGGGAATAGACAGAATGGCCTATCTGGCACCTCAGTGCTCATTAGGAAAGAGCATCCCCTACACAGATACAATCTTGTGGATGTGTGACACACCAAGTGGAACAGGGCAAGATTTCAGCTCCCTGATTGCCCCCTTAGGCCAGTTACTCTTGTCATACACAATGAGCACAACCATATAAGGTAGACCTGAAAATGGCTCTGAGGTCAGCCTACCAGTAATGTCACACCCTCCAATCCCTTGTCAACTGTTTGGTGCTCTTTCTACACATTTCCCCATCTTTTTTTTTTTTTTTAATTTTATTATGTTATGTTAGTCACCATACAATACATCATTGGTTTTTGATGTGGTGATCCACTATCCATTGTTTTTGTATAACACCCAGTGCTCCATGCAGTACGTGCCCTCCTTAATACCCATCACCGGGCTAACCAATCCCCCCTCCCCCCTCCCCTCTAAAACCCTGTTTGTTTCTCAGAGTCCATAGTCTCTCATGGTTCATCTCTCCCTCCAATTCTCCCCCCCCCCATTTTTCCCTTCCTTCTCCTAATGTCCTCCATGCTATTCCTTATGTTCCACAAATAAGTGAAACCATATGATAATTGACTTTCTCTGCTTGACTTATTTCACTTAGCATAATCTCCTCCAGTCCCATCCATGTTGATGTAAAAGTTGGATATTCATCCTTTCTGATGGCTGAGTAATATTCCATTGTATATATGGACCACATCTTCTTTATCCATTCATCTGTTGAAGGGCATTTCGGCTCTTTCCACAGTTTGACTATTGCAGACGTTGCTGCTATGAACATTGGGGTGCAGATGGCCCTTCTTTTCACTACATCTCTGTCTTTGGGATAAATACCCAGGAGTGCAATTGCTGGGTCATAGGGTAGCTCTATTTTTAAATTTTTGAGGCACCTCCACACTGTTTTCCAAAGTGGCTGTACCAACTTGCATTCCCACCAACAGTGTAAGAGGGTTCCCCTTTCTCCACAACCTCTCCAACATTTGTTGTTTCTTTCCCTGTCCATTTTTGCCATTCTAACTGGTGTAAGGTGGTATCTCAATGTGGTTTTGCTTTGGATTTCCCTGATGGCTAATGATGATGAACATTTTTTTCATGTGTCTGTTAGCCATTTGTCTGTCTTCTTCAGAGAAGTGTCTTTTCCTATCTTCTGCCCACTTTTTGACTTGATTATTTGTTTTTTGGGTGTTGAGTTTGAGAAGTTCTTTATAGATCTTGGATACCAGCCCTTTATGTGTAGTGTCATTTGCAAATATCTTCTCCCATTCTGTGGGTTGCCTCTTTGTTTTGTTGACTGTTTCCTTTGCTGTGCAGAAGCTTCTTATCTTGATGAAGTCCCAAAAGTTCATTTTTGCTTTTGTTTCACTAGCTTTTGGAGATGTATCTTGAAAGAAGTTGCTGTGGGCGATGTCAAAGAGGTTACTGCCTATGTTCTCCTCTAGGATTTTGAAGGATTCCTGTTTCACATTGAGGTCTTTCATCCGCTTTGAGTTTATCTTTGTGAATGGTGTTGGGGAATGGTTGAGTTTCATTCTTCTGCATGTGGCTGTCCAATTTTCCCAGCACTATTTATTGAAGAGACTGTCTTTTTTCCATTGCATGCTTTTTCCTGCTTTGTCAAAGATTATTTGACCATAGAGTTGAGGGTCCCACATTTCCCCATCTTAATACAGCATGCACAGAACAAATAGAGGGTCTGATCTCTACCTCCTCCACACACTGAGAAAGGCTCTAACTCTGTGCCATTAGGCAAATGTTCTCAGGAAGAAAGTCTGGGTGAATGTGAAATTCATGTTAAGTGCCTCCTCTTTCTCAAAAATCATCCTATTACACTAGTTGCTATGGAATATCTGCAAACAGTTGGTTAGTGTTCTTTTTTTTTTTTTAAGTGTGGTTCACTTTGAGAAATAAAAAATCAAGAAATCCATCTCTTCTCAAGAGGCAGAAAACCGAAGAGGATGGTCCTACCTTTATAACAAAAAATAGCCAGATAATCTGAAAATTTCCTTTGAATACATCAAAGAGCTGAAACCTCAGGGCAAACAATTTACCTAAAATCTAAGGAAAGACAGTCACGTTGATATCAACATTTTTCTCCAATATCTGTCTTTTGAAAGATCTTAAGTTCTTTTTAAAAATATTTAAAAATCAGCACACAAAAAGGTACATGATATTCATTGAATATTGACACCATAAGAAATAGCATTGGTAGTCTAACATGAAAAAAAAATTCAGTATTACAATTTATATTAAAGAAATGTAAAAAAAACCCCAAAAAACCTCAAACCCTAAGGTTCCATTTTACACTTATTAAATTAACAATCTCTAAAAAGAATTGTAGGAGCGTTTGGGTGGCTCAGTTGGTTAAGCATCTGCCTTCAGCTCAGGTCATGATCCCAGTCCTGGAGTCGAGCCCCACATCCACATCAGGCTCCCTGCTCATCGGGGAGCCTGCTTCTCCCTCTCCTTCTGCTGCTCCCCCTGCTTGTGTTCTCTCTCTGTGTCAAATAAATAAATAAAATCTTAAAAAAAAAAAAGAATTGTAATATCCACTGCTGGTTGCAAGCAAATGCAAATTTGCTACATTGCTGGGAAACAGAATAAATTGGTATGAACTTTTATAAAGGCTATCTTATGACATGTTTCAAAAACAGAAATCTTCATACTCCTGGATTTGTATTCTCATTCCTGACAATTGATCCCAAGGAAATAATACAAAAGAAGGAAAAGAGCTACAATCACCAAGTTGATTACAGCAACATTATTATACAACAAGAATTATCCTAAATGTCCATCCAATAATTTCAAATAGCAAGAAGTTACTGCCTATAGGGTGCAGGACACTGTGATGGATGTCTTGAATTAAAAAAAAACAAACAACTAAGATAAAATCACTGCTCAAAAATTTAATTTAACATTTGATGAGAGGAATAGATAATAAAGATATGTCTACTCACTGACAAATAGTAATCATGAAAATTATATGGAAATGGGGGAGGGAAGTTGCCTAAAATAAGTTACTAAAAAATTAATTTGTTATGATTAAGATTATAAAAATTATTTATATATATGGGACAAGGACTAAAAGGGGACATATAAAAATGAAAGTATGATCTCCTGAGATAGTGAAATTACAGGAACATTTTGCTTTCATGCTTTGTGCAATTCTGTGATAATTTTTCTCATTGGTATTTAAGAAAATTCATACGATATGAAGAATCTCTGAAGGCTAAGCCACATGTCATAGATAACTAAATCTGAAAGGCAAACACTCATTTAATGACACACATCAAGGGCAAATATTAGTGTAACCTTTAGTGAGTCCAGATGGCCACTTTCTTCTTTGCATATATGCCTGGTGATCATAACCACTTCTATGGGTATTAAATCCTAATCCCACACACTCATTAATATGCAAGTCGATCTCCAGTAAACATCTCCACCCCAGCTTTGTCCCTAGTGACTCTCCCAATGTTAACACGATGTGCTTTGGCCCACAATGGTGCCATCTGCATACCTGTTCACTGACTATAGATTTACCCATGTCCTAGAGGGTTCTTTCCTGCATGCCCAGCAACTATAAACCAGCTCTAGCCTGAGCAAACCAGATCATTTTCTGCCACCTAGTGGACTACAGCTATACCTTCTCCAACCAGGTTTGAACCTCAGCCTTGGGGAGAAACCTCCCTTCCAAATTTATGCTTCCTTTGGTATCTCCATCAGCCCTAAGGTACCATATCGCATCCTCTTATATCTTATAGGCTATTCTTTCATCATAGCTTAATAATTCTTTTTGTTGGGGCACCTGGGTGGCTCAGTCGGTTAAGCAGCTGACTCAGGTCATGATCTCAGGCTCAGGTCATGATCTCAGGGTCGTGAGATCGAGCCCCTGCTTAAGATTCTCTCCCTCCTTCTCCCTCTGCTCCTCCCCACTCACTGTCTCTCTTTTTCTAAAAAATGATAGTAATTCTTTTTATTAAACTTCTCTTTTTTTTTTTTTTAAGATTTTTATTTATTTGAGAGAGAGCGAGCAGGGGGAGGGGCAGAGGGAGAAGGGGAAGCAGACTCCCTACTGAGCAGGGAGCCTGATGTGGGACTCGATCTCAGGACCCAGAGATCATGACCTGAGCCAAAGGCAGTTGCTTAACCAACGGAGCCACCCAGGTGCCCCAAACTTCCCTTGTTTAAATCACTATTGGTTTCTGTCTCCTAACTGGACACAAACTGATAAAATCCTGGATGTTATCAACTGTACCACTCCATTCATTTATCTCCTTTGAGGACATTAAAACTTCCTGACCTATCCTGCTCTGAAGAAGCTTACCACTGCAAAGTTGGAAATGATACTGAGCCAACTGGAGGGAAAATAAAAAATAAAAATACAAAACAACAATAACAAAAACCCAGCATGTAAATTTTAAATAGAGTAAGGCTTTCTTTAAGAAAACAGAGGTGAAGGAGGCTGTGGTGAGAAAGGCAGCATCAAACTGGCAAGTTTGAAAAGGTCTTAAGGCTAGCTAGGATCAAAGAAAAGCGAAGAGGTGGGTAGAGGTTACCTGGGGGAACAGAAAAGGCAGGGGCTCAGAGGTAGACAGTGAGCAGAGAGGAATGGCTGGAGCTGAGTGAGCGCTCTGGGGAGGGGCAGGAAGTAGAGCTGGATTGGGATAATCAGGCCAAGAAGAGGAGGGCCTACTAACTTGCATTTGGCGTTACATAGACCAACACTCACATTTAAAATTTTCTCTCCAGGATGAATTCTCCAATGGTGAATAAAATTTGAGTTCCAAATGAAGACTTCCCACATTTCTGACATTCATAGTGTTTTTCTTCAACATGGAGCCTCTGGTCGTGCCTCATGCTGAGCTCTTACGGCAGCTTTTCTCCCACTCATGGGGTTTTGCCTAAGGGTGGATCCATCAATGTGGATTTGAGCTGACTTTCCACTTGAAGGCTTTGCTGCAATCCTTCCACTAATAAGCTTTCTCTGGTGCTGGAGGAGAGGTGAGCTCTGAGCGAAGCCTTTCCCACACTCCTTGCAAAGAAAGGATCTTTCCCCAGTGTGCAGTACTAGGCGGTGAATGAGCTGTGAGTTCAAACTAAAATCTTTACCGCATGCATTACCTGAACAGGGTTTTTCTCCAGTGTATGTCCTCTGATGTAGAACAGAGGTGATCTGACTGATGGCCTTGCTACAGTCCCTGTATCTGAAAGGCTTCTCTCCAGTGTGGGCTTGCTGGTGCTGAGCTGAAGCTAAAGCCTTTACCACATTCTTTGCACACATAGGACTGCTCTCCTGTTGTGGGTCCTCTCAGGGGTCACCCTGCATACCTGCATCTCCACCTTCAGACCCAGTTTCAGTGAAGTGCCTGAACAGAATGCATACGCATCTCCACCTTCAGACCCAGTTTCAGTGAAGTGCCTGAACAGAAATAGAGTTGAAGGCAAAAGCTTTGCCACGATCCCCACTCATTGGACTCTTCTCCAGTGTGGATTCTCCGTGTTGAGAAAAGGCTGAACCACAATTAAAACGTTTGCCATACGTATCACATTTATAGGAAATCTCTTCACCTGGAAATTGCAGATGTGTTACATGATAAAAACTGATTTTTTTTCTGATTTCTTATGTGGATGAAATCTATTTTCCATAGGAATTTTCTCGTTATTTACTCCCTTCTTTGCTGAATCGCTCTTATTTTTTTTTCATCCCATCCACTCTGAGATTTCCTGAATGCCTATCTTATCCTCTGATTCGTAAGTGACTTGAAAACTAGGTCTCTGAAAAGGTCTCTTAGATGTTCTCCTGAAACTAAGCCACAGGACTTGCTTTTCTCAGAAATGTCTTCTTTGAGGCCAAAAGCTCAAATTCAGCTCTGATTTCACAAGCTGACTAAAGAAATAATAAATGTAAATGTCTTAGCAATGTTAGAAAGGGGACAGGATCATCAAGGATATGACTATTTCCTGTAAATGCACAGCTTTTGTATATTTACAAATTGGTTTCATGGAGTATAGAGGATGAAAAAAGCCAAGGAAAACTCCTGGGAACAAAAAGGGGGTGGGGCTATGTCTGATCTTATGGTCAGAGATGCAAAGAACACAAGAAAATTATAGTTGGTCTGAAAGCGTAACATTGTTGATAACAGAAATCTCATAATGGGAATGGCCTGAGAAGACTAAAACAGAATGGGAAAGTGAAGAAGCTACTATGTTGGGCAAGCTGGGGGAGGGGGCAGTACAAATTGAATGTATTAATAAGGAGATTAACAATTAAGAAGAAAGAAAAGGGGAACCTGGCTGGCTTGGTCATAAGAACATATGACTCTTGATCTCGGGGTCATGAGTTTGAGCCCCATGTTGGGTATAGATATTACTTACATAAATAAAAAAAAAAACTTAAAAAAAATTTTTTTAAAGAAGAAAGAAAAAATTAAGATAAAATTAGGGGCGCCTGGGTGGCTCAGTCATTAAGTGGCTGCCTTCGGCTCAGGTCATGATCCCAGGGTCCTGGGATCGAGTTCCACATCGGGATCCCTGCTCAGTGGGAAGCCTGCTTCTCCCTCTCCCACTCCCCCTGCTTGTGTTCCCTCTCTCGCTGTCTCTCTCTCTGTCAGAAAATAAATAAAATCTTTAAAAAATAAAAAATAAAAAAAAAGATAAAATTAAATGATACTCCTATTATTTAATCAGATGTCAAACAAAAAAATCAAATAACTTGGCTATTCCAGGTTAAGGGTATATGAACAATGTGTAAACTCATTCATGCTATCAGGAAGCTTGCACATTATATGGAAACATAAGTAACATACAAAATTAGAGAAAACTACATTGGGCCAGGAGAACACAGGTCGAACCTGCCAGATATGCTAATTAATGGTCATTGTAAGGTAGCAACATTTTGCCATCACGGTTTAGCTCTAGGACAGACATAACAAAATACCACGGACTGGGTGATGCAACACAAATTTATTTTCTTACAGTTCTGGAGGCCAGAAGTCCAAGACCAGGGTGCCAGCAGGTTGGATTCCTCTGAGGACCCTTCTTGGCTTGTCGATGGCCATCCTCTTGTTGCCTCTTCACATGGTTGTCCCTCTGTGCATGTGCACTCCTGGTATCTGTGTCTTAATCTCCTCTTCTTATAAGGACACCCATCAGATTTGATTAGTGCCCACTCTAACAACCTCATTTTAACTTAATTATCTATTTAAAGACCCCATCTCCAAATATAGTCACATTCTGAGGTACTGGGGGGTTAGGGCTTCAACAGAGAAATTTGGGGAGGACACAAATCAGCCCCCCTCCCACACTCTGAAGCCACCCTACTCTTAAGCAATGCTGCCCCACTCTCTTCCTATTTACACACTCCAAGCATGTTCTCTCCTGCCTCAGGCCCTTTGTATATGCCATTCCCTCTGTCTGAAATGCTATGCTCCTAAGTATCAGTGCATCTTGATCCCTATTTTATTCTGGTCTCTTTGTTCAAATGTCCCCTCACTGGAGTCTGTCCCTGATCACTCTATCTATCCCTTTCTACACCCTTTCCCTGTTTTATTGTCCTTCATAGCATTTGCCATTGCTGGGCATAAAAATTTATATATTGTGGGGTTCATCCTGTGTTTAAAATGTACTTGGGATTTTAAAAAATCAGGTATGGTAAGATGACAGGCAAGGAGATAACTATATTTGAAAGAAGAATTTATTACTTATAATTCCTGAAAAGATGGGGGCATGCCACACCACATAGGGCTACATAGGGAAGCACCAGGGTCAGTCAGGAGAAAGAGGAGGGAGAGTCATAGGCAAAAAGCCTTTATTACTATAGTGGTAGGAAGCTGTCAGGTGGGTGTGGTCTACTGGGCAGGAAGCAAAACACAGATGTTGGGGTCTGTAGTTGGGGCATTTGTAATATAATTTCTGCACACCCACGAAAGCGAGACAACAGGGGAGATGTGAACAACTCTGGCCATTAGTTTGGTCTTGTGATCAATGGATGCCAAACATCAATTACACAACCTATAAATATTGGTTAAAATACTCCCACAGGTTTGGTGTTATGCCAGTATATTCAAACATCAGCTAATAGCATAGTAGGATAGAATAAGGGAATGAGTTTCCATAACTAGTTCATGCCTGCACTTCAAGTCCAGTTGATCCTTAAACAACAGGGCTTTGAACTGCATGGAGCCACTTATACGTGGATTTTTTTTGATAAATACAATACAGTACTGTAAATGTATTTTCTCTTCCTTGTGATTTTCTTAGTGACATTTTCCTTTCTCTAGCTTACTTTGTTGTAAGAATATTGCACAGAATATGTATAACATACTAAATATGTGTTAAGAGACTAGTGATGTTATCAGTAAGGCTTCTGGTAAACAGTAGGCTCTTAGTAACTAAGTTTTGGGAGAGTCAAAAGTTATACCCGGTTTTTGACTGCAGGGACCAGTGCCCTCAACCCCTGCATTGTTCACGGGCTAACCGTATTTCCATGTCCTAAGGGTAATTCTTGCTGCCACCACCCAGCTCCCAGGATTCATCCTGTCCTCTCAGGCCAGGTGTGTACCTCTTCTCCTATCTTTCTTATCTTTTTTTTTTGAAAGATTTTTTATTTATTTATTTGAGAGAGAGAGAATGAGAGAGAGCACATGAGAGGGGGGAGGGTCAGAGGGAGAAGCAGACTCCCCGCCAAGCAGGGAGCCCGATGCGGGACTCGATCCCGGGACTCCAGGATCATGACCTGAGCCAAAGGCAGTCGCTTAACCAACTGAGCCACCCAGGCGCCCCCTATTTTTCTTATCTTATCTGAGACCTCTCAGAGGTCACCCTGCTGGTAAATACAGATGGATGGATCTTTACTTTCAGACTCAGTTTCAGTGAAGTGCCTGCATTGGTTTATCTCAAAACTCCAGTGGACAGAACTGCGAAGAAACCAAAGCTCACCTGAGGCCAAGCGATTAGGGACATACCTGTCATCTTCTAGCTTCTTTAATTCCTCTTATGGAGAAAAGCTTTCAGGAGCTTAAGGCACAGAGAGATACCTCAGCAAGATGGGACTGACCACAACTCCTTGTATAGAACTTCTACCCCAGGTCCTGCTTTAATATTTAACATTGTTTACATTGGGCGGCATGATTCTCTGCTCACAAGAGGAATATAACAGGCACAGATCAAAATGCTGAGACAAAGCGGACATCATTCTAGGAAGGAGCCTGAGAAAACTATAGGTTCCAGGAATCCAGATCGATAATCACAGGATCACAGGAAAGAAGCCAGGAGAGGAGATGGGGAGGGGAGTGGTCTATGGATAGAGGATTTATACACCAAAAAGAAACATGGAGCCCCAAACTGTGAATAAAGTTCCCTAGAATCCCCATACCAGAGATTGGAAAATGTTTACTACATATGCACACAAACACTGGAAGACCTTGAAAAAGTCCTTGACTCTCAACCTCTGCTTTTTTGCTGTATAGAAATAAGACAGTTGGATTAGGCAACTTCAAAATTCCTTTTCAGCAATAAAAGCCAATGATTCAAATGAACTAAATCAAAACAAGACTTGGAAATAGTTTACCAATAAGATTTTGATGACTCCCTAATACTATTTTTTTCTAAGACATATAGATTGATTTTAAGATGCTTCATTAATTGTATAGCTCTGGCAAGAGTGGGGAGAAGGTAAGTTGGAAAAAAACTGAATAGCAGCCATGTTAAAATTACATACCAAGTAGGGTGCCTGGGTGGCTCAGTCGGTTAGGCGACTGCCTTCAGCTCGGGTCATGATCCCTGGGTCCTGGGATCGAGCCCCGCATCGGGCTCCCTGCTCAGCGGGGAGCCTGCTTCTCACTCTCCCCGCTTGTGTTCCCTCTCTCGCTCTCTCTCTCTCTCTCTCTATGTCAATTAAAGAAATAAACAAAAATCTTAAAAAAAAATTACATACCAAGTTATAAGGCATATCCCAAATATTATAGTGTTATATTTATAAACTATTTCCAAATCCCACTCTGTGTCAGCTACTTAGTTCATCATTGGAAAACAGTACGTTGATTCTGCAAGGTATACCCATTAAGGACAATGCCTGTAACACAGCAGGTACCACTGGTTAGACCAGAGATTCCATACATACCAAAACTATATGTGCTGGTAGATCTTTACACTTTAACTGGTCTGGTTTGAGACAAAATGGTTGCTATCATTATACCCAGTTCTCTCTCTGCTCACACATCATGCATGAATAGACAAGACAAATCCCACAACCCAATCTCAGTTCTGTTTTCCCACATCTATGGCATTCTGATGCTACAGCCCTTCAGGAAGGTAAAGGAAGCCAGGCATGTGGGTCATGGGAAAAGTTGTCAGATGATACTAGATACCCCATCTTTGTGAGTATAAAGACTTTAATAAGGACAGAGTAGTCAAAAGCATAAATTGAAGGGCATAAAAGAAAAGACAATGTAAATCTTCACAGGTAAAGCTAATCTCAAAGAAGGTTTCTATCCAATATTATCACAAGTAGTGATTCCTTGCAAATTGAGTAATTAGGTACTCCTTGGACATGGGTGTTCTATTTCTCTTAAATCAAGGTGTTGTTGGATCTTTGTACCTATTCGTCCAATATAGGAGGTATTTCATACAGATTGGGACTTCAAACAAGAAGCCTTCAAAAAGGTCAGATCAAGTAATGGGCTGTTGAAAACATATGCTTCAAAAATATCAAAGCCCTATGTAAGTGATCTGAAATGTTGCAGACCTAGAGGTTCCCTTAAATAACCCAAAACATTTTCTAGAATCTGATGTCAGCCGTAAAAAAAATCTCAAACATTGATATGAGGACCAAATAAGTCTTTTGCAACCCAAGTTACTTCATGAACAGAGACTGATGGTAAACCCCAGTCAAGTCTGATCCTCAGAATTTTGATGTTATGACACAAGGTTAAAGAGGATGCAATGAAAAGGGTGAACAGACAGACGTGAAAAATAAGAATTCTTTACCGTCATCCCAATAATTTGGAAGCAAGTGCCATCTTGGAGTAAAACTCCCAAACTGCAATGTACTAGACCCTTTGGCTGTTCCATGGACAGTTGAAGGCTTCCGGTCTGGGCTAAAAGCCATGCCTATCGAGTTAAGTGTTTACAAACCATTTTCTAGGTCCACCTGAAGAAGAAGGGGGTTCTGGGGTTGGGCATCCTAAGAGCAAAGGGTTGGGTGTTCCTAGGGCCCAGAAGCAAGTGAGGAGAGAGGGGAGAACGTGTCCACCGCGGCCAGACTGGCCCAGAAGGCGGATGGTGATATCCTTGTGGGGCTGTTGGTATCGCTCCCTGTCTTGCAGCCTTACGGGAAAATAGACGAGAGTGGTGTGGGGTGGGGGAAGGGGAGGAAGTCTGGCCAGCACTCCAGGCCGGGCTACACCTGCTCTAGGCGCGACCAAAGCGACTACCGGAGTAGGGCTCTGGACCTCTGGACCTGGCTCTGTCCGCGGTCCTTCCAGTCTTTCCAGGGCCACACCGGACCCGCTCACCGTGGGCTCCACTCGGCCCCTGCAGATTTTCTCTCGACATAAGTTGTGATCAGCAACAGTCAATACTCAAACGGTACCCTCACCCTTCAAAACAAACAACTCCCCCCCACCCCACCCCAAAGAAAAACACGCTGTGCCCGAAGTGCATTGTCACCATGACCTGCCGGCGCATAGCCTCCCTCGGGTTCTCTCTTAAGGAACCGTGGAGACCCCACACTTCAGTGGTTCCTCCTTCAGATCCCGGGAGACTAACAGGAGAAAAAGACAGCGGGTGCTGTCTGCTCCTCCCGTCTTCCCACCTGTCTCCCAGTTCTGATTCGAGGAACCCAGACCCGGGTGTTTCTCTGACTTCCCTAGAGAGGCGGCAGCAGTTTAGAACAAGAGTAAGAGGTGGGGCTATGCGTTCTATTGGATACCGGGTGGAGGGGCGGGGCCCACCTAGGCCAATGAGCAGCGGGGCCCACATGCTGAGCCCACCCCCAGCCCCCATCAGGTCCAGTTCCTTTCCAACCAATTTCCTTCTGCGCCTAGAAGAAAATTCATGGTCATGACAGGGGAATTTTAATGGGGCTGATGGGTCTGCCTAGGCAGTTAGCCCAATATTTCAGGATAATGATCAATATTTAAAATTCCATTTTAGTTCTATATTCTGCAAAGAGGAAATTGAAAATTAAGTATTATTTACAATGGCTTCTAAATACATATTTGAAGATAAATTGGCCAAAGGTGTGCCACACCTGTACAGAAAAACTACAAAATTAAAATACATAGATATACAGTGTTCGTGGATCAAAATCTTCTATATTTTTAAGATGTCAATTACTGCCTATTTGACCTATAGATTCAACCAAAATCCCCACAGGTGCTTTTGTAGAAATTGTCAAATTGCTTCTAAAAGGTATATGGAAATGCAAAGGAATGAGAAAAGCCAAAACAACCTTGGGGGAAAAAAATTGGAAGACTTACTCTGCCTGATTTCAAGTTATAAAACCAATGGTAATGAAGATGGTGTATTGGAATCAAAATAGACAAAGAAATCAATGAGTCCAGAGATAGACTCACATATTGAATTCTGACCCTGCAGTTCAATAGGGAAAAATAATCTGTTCAACAAGTGGTTCTAGAAAAATTGGATAGCTATATCCAAAAAATTAATCTTAACCCAGTCCTCACTCCATATACAAAAATTGCCTTGAAATGGATGATAGACTTAAATGTGAGAGTTAAAACCCTAAAACATGTAGAAGAAACAAACAAAAACAAAAACAAAACATGACCTTGGTTATGGCAAAGATTCCTTAAATGATACACACAAAAACACAAACTATAAATGAAAAAAAAAGACAAATTGGCTTTCATCTGTCCACAGGAATGCCTTTTTTCTAGTTTGCACAAAGGCACCATTTAGGCTGGTGGTGGCCATGGCTATATGCTTCTCAATTTAAATCCAAGAGTAAAGAGAGGGTATCTCCCCCTGAAACTATTTTCCAAAGTCCTGAGCTCCACTCTGTTTGGATCAACCCAGGTCACACCCATTAAATGTAGAAATGGAAATGGCATTACTCCAATTGATTTAAGCCAGTCAGGGTCCACCCTGCTAGCCAGTAGTGTAGTTAAACCATCCTATATGGCTGTGAAATGTGAGCCTATTAAAAAGAGGAAAGGGGAGGATGGATGCCGGAGCAGCAACCAATCAAGTCCACTACATCACCTATTATCAATTGCAGGGAAGGAAAGTGCATCTATCAGCTATCGAGCACTACCAGAGATATTGTTAAGATACTTAATTTGGCCTCCTAACTTTGTAGTTTTAGTGTTTAAGCCACAGAACTAGGGTTTTGCCCCATCCTCCTAAGTCTCCATTAAAGCATTTCTATTTTAGCCTTGGCTCCAGAGAAACTTCTCCAAACCTATTCCCATTCCAGTCTTACTCATTCCAGTAAGTGGTCCGCTGTCTAATTCAGCTGCTGAAACCACAAACCAGGAAGCTGTCCCTAACTCCTGTTACTCCTGTATCCACTCTGTTAGCAGGTCACTGATTTTATTTCCAAACTATATCTTAAATACATTTTTTCTCCATCTCTATTACCACCACCCACTCCAAGTCATTACCATCTCCAACCTGGATTGTTAGCAAACTCCAACATGATCTCTTCTTTCACTTTCCTCCCTCTACAAACAATTGTCTACTTAGCAGGCAGCGATCATCCTAAAATGTGAATCAAACATGTCATTCCTCCACTGAATACCCTTTAATGGCTTTTTTTTTTTAAGATTTATTTATTTATTTATTTGAGAGAGAGAATGAGAGAGCGAGCATGAGAGGGGGAGGGTCAGAGGGAGAAGCAGACTCCCTGCGGAGCAGGGAGCCCGATGCGGGACTCGATCCTGGGACTCCAGGATCATGACCTGAGCCTAAGGCAGTCACTTAACCAACTGAGCCACCTAGGCGCCCCTGGCTTTTCACTTAGGTTGGAATTGAATGATCTGGTCCACCTGTGTCTACAAACCTAACTTGTGCCTCTCATACCCTTGATAATTATGTTACACCCCAAACCTTTTGGTTTCTTGAACATGCCAAACCCTTCACACATCAAGAGTCTGCAGAGCTGTTCCCTCTGCCTGCTGTTCTTCCCATTCTTGATACATGTGCCTTCTTCTCATTCTGAGATTTAACTTTAATGTTACCTCCTAGGATAGGCCTTCCCTGACCATTTATATAAAGAGGTTCCCTCTCCATCATTCCCTCTCTGTAGCATTCATTTCCTTCATTAACGCTTAGCAATTTTTAATCAATTACTTGTTTTTTTTGTTTGTTTGGTCTCTCTCACTAGATGAATGTTCCAGAAAGGCAGAAAGTAGGTCTGACTTACCATTGTTTAGCAGCACCTAGCATAGTGCTTTGCATACAAGCAGGTACTCAGTGATATTTGCTTAATAAACTTCCCCCAAATGCCTGTTCACATCACTCATTTCCATTTCTTGGGTCTGTTTACACTTGATCTTAGCCAAAAGGCCAAGAAGCGATCTTCTTGGGTCTGTTTAGTACAAAAGTTTCAATGCTTATTAGAGGTTACCCTAACTGGACTATGCTAAGCCAAGTGGCTTTAGGCTTCAGCAATCAGATAGTATGTTTGTAACTTTCAGGAAGCAGTTTAGTCCAAGCCAGTCTCTGGCTTCTCTTCCTTGCTCCTTAGTCAACAATTACATTACCTAGCTGGGAGCTTCTAAAGTGGAATGCCTAATTAGCAGAAAGGCAAACTGCTGAAAAATGGCTCTAAAGGTGAAGTCTGGAATGTGTTTCATCTGTTTTGGCCAGCACTCTTCTCTGAATAGAGCCTTTGTTTCTCTAACCCTTGAAGATGGTCAGTACCATTCTCTAATAATACAGCTTACTCTGGAATGTGGGCTATCATGATGATGAGAAGGGAAAGACTGGAAGGGGATCTGGGATAGTGGAACAATGAGAGGGGTTGTAGCTATACAAATTTTTATGAAAACAAAACAAAACAAAGCCTCCCACTTGCTTTACATTTTCCCAGTCCCAGAGTGCTATCTTCTAACACAAAAGGAATCAGGTCTCCCAAGACTGCACAATTCTGACTACCCTCCACTACTTTCCTTAAGTTACCTTGGTGACCTCAGGGTGGACACAACTTCAGAGGAAGAGAAAGTTCTGGAGTTGGCAATGTAACTGCATTGTCATCTACAGCAAATATGGTTTTCAGTGAGGTAGATTTATGAAAGCTGAGTACTTGTATATAGAAAGAATATATCCAGGAAGATACACAACCAGTAACAGTGGCTGTCTCTGAGAAGGTAGACTGGGAGATAGGAGTGACAAGGAGAATTTACTTTTCACTGAACACCTTTTTGAACTATTTCAACTTTTTTTCATCATGAGCATGTTACAACTAGTCAAAAATAAGTAAGTGTCAAAATTTGAAAAACATAAAAGAAATACAGTGTTGGTCCTCAAAGAGACATTTAGCTGGACTAACACAATAAGACATCAGAAAAATATAAGACAGCACATAGTTAAATAACAATTTGGATAGTACTGATTACAAGTAGAAGAGGAAGAGAGGTCTGTTTGGCTGAAGGAGCTGGGTATTAGACGAGAAAAGGAAATTTTTAGCCTAGGGAAACTTGAGCGAATAGAAATGAGCAGAAGCAGAAATGTGCACAAATAAAGAACAGTAGACTCTGGGGTCAGATAGACCTGTTTCCAATCTCAATTCTGTAACATATTAGCTAAGTGACCTTGAATGAGTTTTATAACTTCTTTCAACCTCAGATTTCTCATTTGTAAAATGAAGATGAGTACCTACCTCAATAGGATTAAGAAAAACTAAAGATTGTATGTAAAGTGATTAGCATAGTACCCAACAGAGTAGACGCTCAACTAAAAGTTGCCTAGCATGAACATGGTCGAACAGAAGGACCACTCTTGCTAGAGCACAGGGTATCTGTTCAGAAGGGGTAAGATAATACTGGCTATTAGAGTTATAACAAACTGTGGACAATCACCTTGTTTTGTCTCTGGGGTTCCTGTTGCATAAGAATTATAAGCAAGTACCACCATTGTGCATTCTCTAATGTTCAATGTGAGAGGTCTGACAATTACAGGGTTTCTCTCTGGCATGGCGCCTCTGGTGCTTAATCAGAACAGAATTCTGACTGAAGGCCTTCCCGCAGTCATTACACTGATAGGGTCTTTCCCCAGTATGGATTCTCTGATGTCGGATAAGGTGTGCCTTGCAGATGAAGCTTTTCCCACAGTCAGTACATTCATGGGGCTTCTCCCCCGTGTGGACTCTCTGGTGCTGAGCAAGATCGGAGTTCCACATAAAGCCTTTCCCACAGTCCTTGCATTCATAAGGCTTCTCCCCAGTGTGGATTCTCTGATGTCGAAGTAGGGCTGGGTTCCGAGTAAAGCTTTTCCCACATTCCTTACATGTATATGGTTTTTCCCCAGTGTGGATTCGCTGATGTTGTGTAAGGCTTGTGTTCTGACTAAAGCCCTTCCCACATTCCTTACATTCAAACGGTTTCTCTCCAGTATGTATTCTCTGGTGTCGAATCAGGTTTGACTTCCAAACAAAGGCTTTAGCACATTCTTGACACACGTAGGGTTTCACCCCCGTGTGAATTCTCTGATGTGCAATGCAATGTGATCTAAAACTGAAAGTCTTTCCACATTCCTTACATCCATAGACCTTCTCTCCATTATGAAGTCTCTGATGTTGGTCAAAGTCTTCATTTTGATCGAAACACTTGCCACATTCTTCACATATATAGAACACCTGCTCACTGAGAATTTTCTGATGTATAGCAAGGTGGGTATTCACATCAGCATTCTCTGAACTATCTTCTCCTGAGACCATCTCATCTTTGACAATCACTTCTATAATATCATTTGCAGTGTTCTCCATACTTCTCCCATTGGAATAGTCAGACCACCTCCCTAACCTGCTTTTTTCCTCCTCACAGGTTTTTCCAAACCAGAATTCCTGGGAGTCACACCACCAGGGTCTGCTTGATAACACCATGTGGTCCTTTGCCTCCTCAAAATGTTCCTCCTTCAGAATAAAATCTTTCTGACTCTTCAACACACCCTCTGAAAGAAGAAATCAAAGCTGCAAATGTCATCATTACCCATGACAGAGCAAGTAAGGTCACCAAGTGGTACTAATGTGTCCATTTCACTCCAAGTGTCACCCCGTGTCTCAGTGGCCCTGTTCTAGCTAAAAATGGCAAAACAGGGCTTATCACACAGAAAGCAACCGAAGTGTATGCCACAGAAAGGCAGAAACTACACAGAGTCTAGAGGGGCGCTCTCCAGAAATAGTTGAATTGAATCTAAGGGAGACAAGTCAGAATTTCTTCTACGTAGTCCGGTTTATAACATGAGAAGAAGAGGCCAGGGTTCAGGGCAGAGGACCTGTTCAGAAATAACGAATCCTTTGGGGTATACCTGGGGAACCTGAACTTGTCATACGCAGCGGGAAGCAACAAGGAGAATCTTCCTCATACCTGTCAACATTAAAAGGAAATGTGGTCTTCCCATTCAATCCAGTTACCAGGCCCACCATGAAAAGTGCTTCCCCTAACTATTTCAGGCAAAGACTGCCTCCTCTTTGTGTCCACAGTGCTCTATTCACACCTCTGTTACAGCATTGCACTTTGCTGTAATTATATATTTATGTCGAATGTACCTTGCAGGAGAAGGGCCATATATTACTTGCTTTCTGATCCCTAAAAACTAACAGAATGAATAAAATACAGCATTTCCTTTTAAAATTTTGGTTGACTGTAGCAGCCAGCAGGCCATCTGTTCGGTTAAAGCCTAAGACCCAAGACCCACCCGAATTAATCGATCATGTCCAAATGAAAGCTGAAGTTTAGAATTTAACTTTGCTCTTCATCAAATGGTTGACTTGGGGATTTTTAGAGGGATTTTTACTTAGAACATAAATGGTAAAATGGAATTTTAACAGTTTACAAAAGAAAGACAGCAGAAAATATGTGCCTGGGAGGAAAGTGCTCATTTCCCTCACTTACCAGTACAGCTTAGGCTTGGACCCTCTCCTCGAAGTTTCAGGTTCAATGGCTCTTCCACCTGCTCAAGATGGGAGATCCCAGCAGGCTTTAGAAATGGACATCCTGCCAGGGTCAAGATATAAATAAGGCTGGCTCAGTCGGAGTGGGGCCCATTAGGACAGGTGCAGAGATGAAAGTGGTAAGGGAGAATGAAGGTGGGTGGAAAGACTGGTACACAGGAGACCTGAAACTTGAGGAGAACAATATAAAGGACAGAAGACAGATGCAGGGAAGTTGAAATTCCATCAGTTCCCCAAAACATGAGAATGTATCCCTCATTTTTAAATGTCAAGGGGAAACAGGAAAGACTAAGTTCTCTTCTTCACCTCCCCTAGAAGGCAAAAGCCAGTTCACATGGAAAAGAATCAGGATGGGATGGAACTGCAAAGAGCTGTTCCTGAGGCTATGCTGGGAACCCACAGTCCTTTAGCTTCCTTCCTGTCTATCCACCTATCTATTGCCTTCTCTTTCTACAAAGGATCAACGATGGGTCTCTTTAAGGCATCCATTAGACATGGACTCACAGCTTCACTCAGCCATTTCCAGAAGTCACTTCTTATTCTAATGACAGACACCTCTAATTGCAAAGGTCCACTCTAATAAACTCTTCTTCAGACTTAGCTAAGATCTGTCTCTTTGTAACTCCCATCCAAAGCCTCCCAAGAAACAGAGCAATTCCTCATCCTCCAAATGACCACCTTTTATCTTGCTGAAGCCAAGGACTGTGTGTCTCCTGATATTCTCTTAAGACAAAAATGGACTTTGAATAGGGGCATGTACTCAAAGGAAGTTTGCTTCAGGCCAGGGAGCTAGGGTTTTACTCAAGGAATAACTTAGCTGTTGGCTTTCTGCCTAGAGTCAAATGGGAAATACCCTTGGGTGGTGGGAGTTTAAGCACTGAGATCCTGAGAGAAAGCAGAGGACACTGTAGTTGTCTCTCTATATCCAATCTACCACCACCACCAACCCCCACCCTCCTCTGCCGCCCCCACCATTTTGGAGTAGCCATGCCCTTTGGAAAGGAGGGATCCCAACTCCAGTTCCTAGTGTAGCCCTCACTGGTCTAAGCCAAGCAGGTTAACCTATCCCACTCACTACATGAGAGTTAGTTTCAGAAATCAGCAGTCCAGGCCAAGACAATCAGTGCATACTATTTCCCTGGCCACAGTGACTGGTTTAGAGTTGGCGTAAGACTTAAGATGGTACATGGCAAAGGCCTGAGGAAGGCCTGCCCTATTTCTCTCCCTAGGTATGAAGAAGATTGGTTACAACTACCAATCATCTTACAACCACAAGAGGAGCCAGACTGTAGACAAAGCCAGACTGTAGACAAAGCCAGCATACAAGGAGATAGAAAAGAGCAGAGACTGAAGCTCTGATCAAGCTGTACCTGCACCCTCCCTATGAACTTCCTACTTACACGAAACAGTAAATTCCTCTTTTTTGTTTAAGCTGGTTTGCACTGGGTTGTTAATTGTAACCACGATCATCCTAACATGGAAAGACTGCCAGACACAGCAAGGAACTGTGAGAATGGGGACATTGAGGACAAAGCTAAAGTTCCACTGTGCCCACAGAAGAACTCCTGTGGGAAGAAGATGGAATGGGGCCACGGAGGCAAAAAGGGGACACAGTTGTCACTAGGAAATTAGGAACAGGAAAGCCCTGTGTTGGGCCTAAAGGAATGCCAGGGCTTTGCCGACCAGAAACCCCTGAATTGGAACTATATGGCTCAGGGTTATTGAGATTTCTTGATTTCTAATGATAAAGATGGCCATGATACCCCAAAAGGGCAGTCAGAATCTTCTGCTGGAAGACTATAAGGAGGTGGGGAATGTAGAAAGGCCACCCCAGTGCGTCAACAGAAAAGTCAGGGAGTACAGATGAATGGTGGCCACGATAAGAACAGCGGAAATGGGTTAGAGGCAAAACCCGTGAATGAAGAGGAGCCAGGGTGAATAGTAAACAGACTCAAGAAGATGGAAAATCATGGGAGCACAGAAAAAGAAAAAGGAATCCCACTAGTGTCTATAGTACTAGGTTAAGAGAACACATACCTATTACATTTTAAAGATCAAGACAAGGGAACTGGTCAGATGACTGGCACCTGTCCTCACTCACCTGAGGAGATGCCCCTCGGGCCCCCTCCATCCAGAGCTCCCTGAGGAGCTTTGCACCAGGGTGCTTCCCCTCGCTCCAGCTGGGAAATCAGAGCCGGTTTGGGAAATGGAAATGCTGTTTAAGGGGAAGGAAATGGGATAGGCAGGTGAGTGGGGTGACAGAGAGCAATCCCAGGGTTCCTCCCAGGCTTTGTCTTTAGGGGCGGAGGGGAAAGAAGAGACTTAACTAGGGAGAGCAAGAAAAGGAAGTCCAGGGGAAGGCACAGGAGACACAGGGGAGCGGGGCCACGAGGTCAGGAATTAGAGTAAGAGGTGCTCAATAACAGTCTGAGTGAGCAAATGGATGATTCCATTCATTGAGAGATTAGGCTTTCTTGTTCTCTCCCTCTCTTAGAACTCTCAAGTTCAGACATCTGCATGAGGACGCTTGGTATTGGGTTCAATCTCCCAAACTGAGTGGGTGGGAAACTGAGGGCTTGGTGGGGCACCAGGAATCTGCTCTTTTCCTACTCTACCCATAGCATAGGGGTTGGGAGTTAGGCAGCTCTCACCCTGGGGCAAGAAAGTCTGATGTGAGGACCAAATTCCCACTTCCCAGCAACCACTGAGGCTGGGTCCTTATTAAGAATCCAAGGGCCTGAGGTTGCCACTCAGGTGGGGGTTATCAAAGATTCCTGAGCTTCTGAGGAAGAAGGAGTCAGGAAACTCTGAAGGGCAGAAGCAGAGTCCAAAAAGAAAGACCCTTACCCAGGGAAGCCACAGCCCCATAATTCTCCAGCATCACATCCCTGTACAGCACCCTCTGAGCGGGGGCCAGGCCGGTCCATTCGTTCTCAGAGAAGTAGACGGCCACATCCTCGAAGGTCACTGACTCCTGAAACAACATGTGTTTAAATGCCCCAGGACAATCTCAGACCCAGGCCTGGAGTATGGGGTAGACCAGGCACTAAGAGGTACTGGAGGGGATGCCAGTTGAGTTTCTGGATTCTGGAACTCTCTGCGGATTTGCACCCCCTACTTACAAAGATATAAGGGATCAGCCATCAATTTCTCACGTCTCTTCATCCCCTCATCTTTTTCATGAGTCTCTGCAAGTTTTCCCTTTTTCATCCTTATACCCAAAACCACTACCTGCGCTCTAGGTGCCCTCATTTCCCAACAGCGGGTGCTCCAGGCAGAGGTCACCAACCCTTGATAACAAGTGCAACTACCATCTGTTGAGCCTGTGCCAGGCACTTTACCTATATTACTTTGTGTATGCCTCACAGCCTCTGAGGAGGCGATTCGATTCATTTTATGGAAGAGAGTGAGGCTCAGAGATTCACTGCCCCCAAAGGTACAGAACGGAGACAGAATTCAGGGCAGTCGGCCTCTCCGGCTCTTCTTCACTGTGCCACACCGCCTTCTATCCTCACTCAGCAACCCCTGCTGCCCCGGGGTGAGGCTCTTTCTGTTCTCTCCCTCCGCCCTCACTGTCATCAGCCACAGAGGCAGCTAAGGGCACCCCAGCACACCCGGGCTGCTCTGGACGCTGTCCTCCAAAGGGCAGGTCCGAACTCTGACTTGACTCCCTGCACTCTGCCACTCCAGCACCCTCTCTCAAATGGCCCGCCCTACTCTTCCTTCCCCACTTGCCAGTTTTAATGTCCCCCTTTCCCGTATCTCTGGGAGCCCAAGCTTCTGCACCTTCTCTTACCTTCTTCCTTAAGAAACACCAACAGTGCTTCCGCAGAGCAATCAAGGCTTATCATCCCAGCTACTGTCTCATTCAGCTCTCAATCTCCATACTACGGAGAGGCTGATTCTGCTGCATTGCACATCGGTCCTTGCTTAGAAAATCCCCACAGCGACTTACGCAGCACCCTAGGGCTCAAAGACTTTGGCTGGCTCACCCTTGCCTGCCTCAAAACGTCCAAATCCTCTGCACCGGGGACAATTCCATTGACTATTCAGAGACCCAGCTTACCGGCCAAGGATCATCTCCTGCACCACCACCCTCATCCCCTATCCTGTCACCATCCTCTTAGGAACCCAAATCCTTTCCTTGCCCAAATCTGTGTCCTTGCACCTGCAGCTCCCCCTGCCTGGAGATGCAGTTCCTCCCTCCTGCGCCGGCAAACTCAGATTCATCTCAAGACCCACCTCAAACATAACCAGCACTGTAAAAACCAGTGACACGGAAATGCTGGACATTCGTCGCGGCGCACAGCGCTCCGTGAACACCTCCGCCCCAGCGCTCGGCTCAAGCCTGTGCAGCTGCGCGTGTGTTTCCCCTGCCGGCGCAAGTCTGGGGGGATGTCGGATCCATTCCGCTCCCTGCCTCTTCCTCCGGCCCCTCCACTCTGGGCTGCACCCCGATTTCCCGGTCGCCGCACTGCCCCCTCCGCCCCTCCTGTGGGCCTAGAGCCCGGGGCAGAGCCGAGGCAGCTCCGCGGCGCCGGCCCCGCACTCACCGGGCGCGCCCGGGCCGGCGCGGGCTGTCCCGGTAGCAGCTCGAGTGCAGGGCCGAAGGCGGCCCCGCTCGCCAGGGCCGTAGCCGCCATGGCCCGGGCCGCCCTCCCGGGAAGCGAGCGCGCGCCGGGCCCGACCGGGGGCTGCCCGGGGTCGGGGAGGGACGCTCCGGCCCGGGGCGCGTCTGCTACCGCGGCCCCTCGCCCGGGAGCCGGCCGCGCGAGTCCCGGACTCCGCGCCCCGCGCCAGCTCCCCACGCTTGGCGCGAGCCAGAGCTCCGCATCGGAGAGGTGGAGGCGGCCGCACTCCCGCCACTCCGGCTTCTCTAGGACGGCGGAGGGCGCCACGTCTCTGTGGTCCTCCCTTCTTGGCCGGCGAAGAAACAGGGAGCCGAGAGCGCGTCCCGCTCTCCCAGACACACCAACCGCCTCGGGGCGCCGCTGTGGGAATGCGGGGGAGCGGGCTGTTGGGGCGAAGGCTTCCTCTGGGAATCCTCTCCCAGCCCTCTTCTTCCCACTGACCGCCCCTCTCTGCCGCACTGCACTCGTAGGACGGATGCTGGTCTGAAACAGCGCACACTTCTCTTGACATGCCTGTTCATAGATCTCCATCCCTTTCCTGGGCTCTGCATTCCCGGAGGGCAGCTACTGGCCTTGATCATCTTTGTGCCTCTAATATCCACCCAACGTCTAGCACCTCTTATGGCCCGGTTTCTTTAAGTGCCAAGACTTACTTGTTGAATAAAGGAAGGAAGGAATGTTGAACTAGATTTTCAGTTGAAGAAAGTAAGGCTCAGAGAGAGGAAATGGCTTATCTCACATCACACAGCATGCCGGGAAGCTAAACCTTTAAACGAAATTGTGGAAATAAAAGTAGACCACCAAAATGAGAACAAGCAAAGGCTATTTATTTAGAGCTTGCTAGAAGCAAGGGAGACAACCACCATCACTTGCATTTGGCAGAGACTCTAAGTCGGGCAGAGGAGTGGGAAAGCTTTATAGTTAAAAAAAAGAAAAAAGTGGGGGTGCGGAGACTTCACATATGCTCTGTTTGGAGATTGTTGGCATGGGGGAGCTAACTAGAAGCAAGGCATCTTAGGTGAGTGGTTGGGGGAGGATATTAATCAAATTCTGGTTGGTTGGGGCTGACTGCTACAGGGTTTCTTTTGGCTTCCTGGACTGGTTACTACAGACTGTAGGTCAGAGTTCTAGTTTCCTATATGGTCTGGTCATTTTCCATTTGTATATATAGTCTCTTGGGATGAACAAAGTAAGAAGATGTCCATTTCACAGAAATTCCAGTCCAGAGGCTCAGATTCCTTTTAGGTCCCCAGGTATTGAGAGCTTACAGATACTACACCCGTGAAAAATCACAGAACAAAGGAGACCTCAGGTGAGATTCCTGATTTGTTGGCTTGTTTGTTTCTAAGAGGATACTGGAGAAGCTCATAAATGGACCCTAGTGAATAGGCTGTGAGCACTGAGAAGGAAGCAATGAGACTTACCCTGGGAAGAAAGATCACTAGGAAAGACACACACACAACAAATGCTCCCATGGGGCGCCTGGCTGGCTCAGTTGTTACGCGTCTGCCTTCAGTTCAGGTCATGATCCCAGGGTCCTGGGATCCAGCCCCAGATCGGGCTCCCTGCTCAGCGGGAAGCCTGCTTCTCCCTCTCCCACTCCCCCTGCTTGTGTTCCCTCTCTTCGCTGTCTCTCTCTCTGTCAAATAAATAAAAGATCTTTAAAAGATAAAATAAAATAAAAATAAAAATAAATGCTCCCGGGCGCCTGGGTGGCTCAGTTGGTTAAGCGACTGCCTTCGGCTCAGGTCATGATCCTGGAGTCCCGGGATCGAGTCCCGCATCGGGCTCCCTGCTCGGCAGGGAGTCTGCTTCTCCCTCTGACCCTCCTCCCTCTCATGCTCTCTGTCTCTCATTCTCTCTGTCTCAAAAAAAAAAAAAAAAAAAAATCTTAAAAATAAATAAATAAATAAATGCTCCCATGGGGTGCCTGGGTGGCTCAGTCGGTTAAGCGGCTGCCTTGGGCTCAGGTCATGATCTCGGGATCCTGGGATCGAGCCCCGCATCAGGCTTCCTGTTCAGCGGAGAGCCTGCTTTTCCTTCTCCCTCTGCCTACAGCTCTGCCTATCTCTCTGTCAAATAAATAAATAAATAAATAAATAAATAAATAAATAAATACTCCCATGATCTTAGGGATAAGATGGAGAAAACTGCACTCAGTGCAAAATAATTATGGGAGTTTTAGCTCAGAATAAGGAGCCCTCAGATGCCTGATTATTAAGTCATGGTCCACCAGAAGGAAGGTCTCTTATGGTTCTGACCAGTGTTTTGGTTCAAAACGAAAGAGGAAAGAGATAATCTATTTTTACCCATATTCACTCATATATTTTTACTCTTTCCATTCTTCTTCCTATTAAACACACAGCAGCAGGCAAGGTCAAGGCCATGTCCTAACTGACTTGACCAGTAAAGATAAAACAATTCATTTTTAGATTCATACAATGTATTACTTATGTAAACAGCAAAAGTAAGAGTATCCAAACATGCCAGTCCCCAGATCCTTGTCCCACACACCCAAAACAATGACACCAAAACAAAAGGGGACTCAAGGACTGCAACGTCCTTGGTGAGGAGCCGATTTTAGACTGTAGCTAAGCAGTGTTACAGTCTGCAGTTATATCCAGAAAGCCTCATACCTCTTCAGAATCTGAGAGGCAATGAGAAACTGTCTCATGAACGCCTCCCACAAGAAATAGGGAAGGGAGTGGGAGATGGGCTTGAAGGCCTGTAAAGCTCCTCTCATCCTCTCATGTTCTAGAAGGATCACAAGGTGATCTGCCATGACTCAGAGTAGCTGTTGTTCAAGCTTTTGCCTGTACAGCCTATATATGTGCAAACTTGCCAGGACACCATGGTGAAGTCATTCCCCTACAACAAGACCTCCCAAATGTTTACACATAAAGATTCTCAGGAACGAACCGCCACATAGGTCATCAGATACTCTAGTTGTACTGATAGAGGCTTGGGTCAAATACATTCCATGTGTCTTAGGCAACATCAGACAAAAGTGACTACAATAGGGCGCCTGGGTGGCTCAGATGGTTAAGCGTCTGCCTTCGGCTCAGGTCATGATCCCAGGGTCCTGGGATTCAGTCCCGCATCGGGCTCCCCGCTCGGCAGGAAGCCTGCTTCTCCCTCTCTCACTCCCCTTGCTTGTGTTCCTGCTCTCGCTATCTCTCTCTCTGTCAAATAAATAAATAAAATCTTTAAAAAAAAAAAAGTGACTACGATAGTGACATGCTGTAGTACAACCAGGCCCACTGGAGACTGGACCATAGTCAGGTTCCTCATCCAAAGCCAATCCAGGTAAATAGGTCATTAATCCAAGTGAGGCAAGAGATACTGGCAATGACCCATACCCCACCTAAACTGGCCCGCAAAAGATCCAGGGCAGTACGATTGTCCATTACCACCCATGCTAGAGAATTTAGAACAATCGTTGGGTCTGTGAAAAATGTACAAGAAGTCCAATAATAACAGCATGAGGCTAAAGGGAATAATTTCAATGTCCAGGAAGTTAATCTTATTCTGTTGTTTCTTGCTGAGACTGTTTCTTTCTGGAGTCAGTGGCTATTGGGAAGATTCTGAGAGTTTTTATTTTTTATTTATTTATTTATTTATTTTAAAGATTTTATTTATTTATTCATAAGAGACAGAGAGAGAGGCAGAGGGAGAAGCAGGCTCCCCGCCAAGCAGGGAGCCCGATGCGGGACTCGATCCCAGGACCCTGGGATCATGACCTGAGCCGAAGGCAGACACTTAACCATCTGAGCCACCCAGGCGCTCCTCTGAGAGTTTTTAAATTAAGATTTTTTATTGGCTAGTTGTAAATTTGAGGGTGGTGACAAAAGCTAAGAGGGTAATGGTCCCTCCCTCTGCCCCTGACTTCCCAGGGTCTAATTCTTACCAACCGGGATTGTTCTTCCTCTTCTTTCACAGCCACATGACCATTATGACTAGTCTCTCACCTTTTCCCTGTCCTCTCCATGTCTAACCCACACGATAGGCTTAGACTCATCCCTGGTTAGCTCAGAAGTTCCTTTCTTCTATAATTTAGAACATCCTAAAATATCTCCTACCCTCTGACATGTGGGTCATGCCAAGACCACCTTAGTTTTCACCTCATAATTCATGATCATTATAATCATTATCTATAATTGCCCAAATCCAGCAAGCATGACTGGGGTGGGGAGATACACTAAGTTTCAGTCTCCCAGGCCCCAGTTCTTTTTTCCTACTTGCAAATTCTAGTAGTCCAGTTTTCCAGGGATAGGCATAGGAGGGGGGAAAAAGAGAGTGATAAGGGTTAATTATGTGGTTTGTGTTTCCTGCAGCCAGTTAGGGCTTTCTCCCACTCCTGAACCTCATAAATAGACATTATACTTAAATGGGAGGTACACTTTTAGGTAATTATCACATTTGGAGCCCAAACAAATTATCTTAATTTGTACACCACTGACAGCTTATTGACAGGTTGTCCAATTATCTTTTTCAGTTTTTTAAGAGTTCACACTCTCTCTTAATAGCACCTCCTTCTTGGGGGATGATACAGGTTATGAAAGGCCCAGCTAGTATCCCAGGTCACTGTCCACTCTTGGTACTTTCAGCTATAAAAATAGCACTATTATCTTATTGGGTGTGTTAGGGGAAGCTAAATATGTAACATAGGTGACCTAAGAATCCTTGAGCAGTATTGTCCACACATGCTGTGTGGAAGCTAGTAGTGCCATACCCTGAAAGGGTGTTTACTGTAGTCCATGCCCAGCAGTATTCTCCATATGAAGGTGGGGAATCCATACAGTCTGTTTGCCGGGATTCACCAGGTCCAGTACCCCTACTTACGTGCTCCAGTTTCCTTTGCTACTCAACTGTGTGGCTGGCAGTCCGGTCACATTTGTCAAGCTTCTGTATGCTTCTTTCTGTATGGATGTTCTAAGAGTTTGCTGTTACTATTTCTCTTCTGTTTGTAGAACTTTAGCCATCATTTTAGGGTAGGTGTGCTAGTGACAATTTCTCTTAATTTTCCTTCATTTGAGAACATGTTGATTTAACCTTCATTTCTAAAGGATATTGTTACAGGTGTAGAATTCTGAATTGACAGTTCTTTTTCTTTCATCACTTGATAAACGTTGTGCCATTTGCAAATGACTTCCATGGTTTCTGATAAGAAATCCATGGTCATGTGAGTTGTTTCTCTAGGTGATATGCTGTTTCTCTCTAGCTGCTTTCAAAACATTTTTCCCTGTCTTTAGACTTTTCAAGTTTGATTACATTGTGTCTGGACTTGAATTTCTTTGGGTTTGTACAGCTAATTTTGATGAAATCCAATTTACCTATTTTTCTTTTGTTGCCTGTGATTTTGATGTCATATACAAGAAATTTTGCC